AGCGGGACCACCTATCCTCGTACTAAACGTTTGTCGAATCCCGCCTCGAAGCCAGAATTGTGTCTGCAACTGCTGCAGGAATTCCGCGTGCCTCGAGGTTAGACCTGACAGAGGCCAAGCCACCCACTGAATCCGTGGATTTGGGTGGGCCCGCTCGTGAGAGAGAATGTCCGGTCGCCAAAGGTAATAGAACAGGAGGCTGAGCCAGAAACCTGAGAATTACCGGAAACCAGCTCTGTGGGGGCCAAAGCGGTGCCAGTAGCACAAGTAGCCGAGCTGGCTGGGTGAACAGCTGTGAAAGGACACGGGGAATGAGTGGTAGCGGCGGGAACGCCCAGAGCACTTTGCCCGTCAATCCAGCTGGAAGGCCGCAGCCAACGCCCTGGGTCGGTATCCGAGAGCAGAACATGGGTGTCTGATGCGTCCCGCCCGGACGCAAACAGATCCACCTCGAGCGACCCGTACAACTGGGAGATTACTGTGAATATCTGCCTGTCGAGCATCCACTCGTATGCGGGGCCAGGATCCGCGAGAGCGCATCTGCTCGCACGTTCTCCAGCCCCGGGAGATAAACAGGGAGTACCTGACAATCGTACTGGTCGCACCAGAGGAGAAAGTCCCACGCTTCCCGGAGGAGCGCTGGGGACACCGTGCCTCCCTGCTTCAGGATGTACGACATGGCCGTCTGGTTGTCTAACTGAAGACGGACTACCTGGCCACGGACATGCTCTCTGAAGCGCTCGAATACCAACCGCACAGCTCTCAGTTCCAACACGTTGATGTGAAGGTGGGCTTCGGCTTCGGACCAGAGTCCGGAAGCCGACAGACTGCCCAGAACACCCCCCCAGCCCGTGAGGGACGCATCGGTCTGAACTGTGAGAGCTGGCGTCCGGGATTTCAAGGGAACCCCTGGTGAGATTCCCGACATTTGTCCACCACTGAAGGTGAGGTGTCAACCACTTTCGGGGACTGTGAGACTGCGCTCCAGATCCTCCGTGTGAGTCCACAGCCGAGCCAAAGCTTGCTGTATGGGGACGCATCCTCAACCGCGCCCGCCACACTACAGAGATAAATTCGCCTCCATATGGCCCAGTAGGCGGAGCCAAGTCCGTGCTGGTGCCTGGGGCTGGGAGAGGAATGAAGATACCATCTCCCGAACTCTGGTGACCCAGTCGGGCGACAAAGGAAACGAGATCCTTGTTCGTTTGGAATCGCTCCAAGAAAAACCAAGTCCTGGGTGGGTACCAGGTCGGATTTCTTGAGGTTGATGATCCACCCAGTCGAGTTAGAATGTCTATCACTGTGTGAGTAGCATCTTGACTCGCTGGCTGTGTTAGTGCTCCGAGCAACCAGTCGTCTAGGTAAGGTAAGGGCCTTTGCGGCGAGCTAGGGTAGCTGGGACTAACATGAGCTTGGTGAACACCCTTGGGGCAGTCGATATGCGAAGGGGAGCACCCTGAATTGGTAATACATCCCGTCGTAAAGAGAACCGAAGGTACTGCTTGAACGATGGATGTATGGGTACATGCAGAATACGCATCCTTTAGGTCGATTGGCGTGGAGCCAATCGCCCGGGCTGAACAGATGAGATCACCGGCGCAGTGTCTCCATCTTGAAGGATGGTACTTGAGCATCGCGATTCAACCCCTTGAGGTTGAGAATCGGGACGGAACCCGCTGTCTTTCTTGGGCGAGGAAGTGCGTGGAATAAAATCCCGCCTGTTCCTCTCCCGGTGGAATGCGCTCGATTGCGGACTTGTCCAGCAGAGCCTGAACCGTCGCGCAATATGTCCGCCCTGGCTTGACATGGCGGCACGGAGTCGCGGCGTATGCGGTGAAGTCGGGCGGACCTCGCTTCCACAGTGGGAGATGGCCTATGCTGACCGTGGCCAGCACCCAAGCGTTGTTGGTAGCCTTCTCCCATTCCGGCAGGAATAGAGAGAGGCGGCCTTCCACTGGGATATGGGGTAGGAGAGCGTGTGTAGACCCGAGTAGCGGAGCTGACTGGGCGTGACACACGGCTTGAGCGGCAGCCTGATGGGTTAACGGGAGGTCGGGGCAGACCTCCCGCGCCCGCGAAAAGGCTGGGAGCTAGTCGAGGACTGCTCCTTGCCCCTACCCTTGGCGGACCTGTTCCTCCGCCTACCCCTACCAAGCGGCCGAAGCCAGCCGGCAGACTCGGGTGTAGGCTGCACCCCGGCGGAGGAAGGTGGCACGGGAGCGCGGGCCTTAGAGTCCTTGAAGGAGGTAGCTGCAGCGGCAGCCTCCCGTATGACCTGCTGGGCCCCTGGAAAGAGGGTCGCTCCCAGACGGAAAGGGAGGGCCAGCAAGGTCTGCTGTGTTGCTGCCGAGTACCTAGACGTCGACAGCCACAGCCTGCGCATCCCCATGACTGCGCACATCACCGTCGACGCAGCAGACCGCAAAGAGTCGCGCGCGAGGTGAGCCTGCACTTCCGAAAGCTGACGGAGCAGCACGACATGCGGCGACACGTCGCCAGCATGCCCCTCCGCCTCCAGGGCCGACCTCTGAACCGAGGAGAGGTAGGCCTCATGGACCACCACCCGCACCTGCTGCATCGCGTTCCGGTAGACCTCCTCGTAGGTCGGTGCACGCGTACCGCAGGGGAAGCCAGCGAGGGCAAAAGGTGGAGTCAGGCGCCCTTGCCGAGCAGCCGGAGCTGCTCCGGAGGAAGCCGAGCCTCCCCCCAGGGCGACGGAAGTGAACACACATTCGTCTACAATTGGCACAACGAACAGGGAATCCTCCCCAAGCTGGTAGCGCCGCACGAGATCCGGTAAGTCAAACCGTACTCGGGCACCAGACAAGAGGGGATCGACCACGTCCGAGACCAACGAAGGCAGAATGCGGAGCTGCGTCTGCGAGGGTTGCCTAGGGGCAAACGCCTCGCCTGGCAAGCGGAACTCAGTCGAGTCCACGCAACCAGCAGGCACCGCGGCCTGGGGTAGGCCCTCGGCAATTCTCTGCCGGACCTCCCGCAAGGCCGAAGCAAAACGGAAGCCTCCGTCCTGCTCCTCAACCTCCCCAAGCTCCATTGCCTCGGCGCCCGAGCCCGAGTCAGAGGCTGGGTCTCCTCCGTAAGAGGACCCGAACCCCGACCCGGTGGACTGCCTAGCGCTAGGAACCACAGGAAGGGAAGAACAGACAGACGGCTCCACGTCAGCGCCAGCCGGCGTGCGTGGACCCGGTCCCGAGGCGCTGGAGGCAGGCCAGGCAGAACTGGTGCCTCCCGCTCTCAAAGGCGGGTGTGTGCGCAAGGACCGGAATACCAGGAATACTCAGCGTCCCTGCGCTAACTCCGAGAGGGGACTGGGAGCACCTCCCTCTCGAGCAGCCGAGGCGTCGGATCGAAGCCAGAGGCAGCGGATCTACAGAGCGCCTCAAGGCTGAGGGATCGAGCCCGAGCCGGCGATCCCACCCGGACTCTCTGCCCCCGTCCGGAGTGGGCGAGGAACTCCTGCCGGAGACCTCCAACCCGACTCCCGAGCGAAGGACTTCACGGAGTCCATATGCTGCTGAAACATAGAGTCCATTACCGACATGTCAAAACCACTCGAAGTGGTAGGAGAGGGGAAGGGCCTCGGGATTTTTTCCCTTTTGACGATGCGTTTGGTTTTAGGCGGGGGACCTGCGTCAGGTCCCTCCGCCTCCACGCATCTCCGCGATAAAACAGCGTATCGGCCGCCCGCCTCTTCTGGGCCCGGGGAAAAGGCCAGACAAATAGGGCAGGACTCAGCGTCGTGGCCCGTCTTCTCAAGACAGGCAGCGATAGCTCATGCCTGTCGGCCCGTGGAATTTCTCTCTGTCCACAGACCGAACAGGATGAAAAGGCCTGAAAGCAAACACGCAAGCATGTAGCTAACAGCGGCCAGCAGCATATAAACACGTAGAAAACATTGAAAAATACGTGAAGGTTACCCACGGAAAGGAATAGTTGGTTTTAATCGCGCAATATTGCGACCACATGGCACGCTAAACTTCCCGCCATGGCAGAGCAACACGTCGCGTAAACCACGGGAAAGTTCAAGCGTAATTTGTATTAATACAAAGTCACAATTATGAAACAACCAACTGTAAAGCTTTACTGTTCCTTGTTTTAGGCAAATAAAGACCATACATACAGGTGGTGTCTCAGACATAGCTTTCTTAGTAGCTTTCAGCGCTGTCCGGCTCATGAAGTGCGTTCTATTATAAACACGTCTGTTCACGGCAGTGACAGCAGAAGGAATGATGATACGGGTCTAGGAGCCTACCCAGTTGGTGCGCATGCGCTAAGGGAGGTAACTCCGTGAGGTAGGGGCCGTATAATAAATAAAAGAGTTTATTTATTGTTCAATCTTTTTATTCAAAAAACATTGATACAACTGTCACAGGACATTTTTCAGCCGGAAAATGCATAATATGTACCCCAAGGACGATCTCTCTGAAAAAGAATGGGTTTTACGTCGTGCTTGAGAATATTTCGCTCATATGACGATGTGCATGCGTGTGTGTATATGTGCATGTGCTTGTACTAGCCCAGACTGAAGCTGGTTTTATAGTGTTAGCCCACTGAGATACCATGCCGCAGTGAAGCATGAATACCCCACTCAGACACAATATACTGACTCCGAGCCAACCAGTCCTTGTTGTACCAATTAATGCCGAGCGCCAAGCAGGGACCAACAAGTACCATATTTTAATGTCTTTTGGTATGACCTGGTCGGGGATCGAACCCGCGACCTTCCGCTCTCCGGGCGGAAACTCTAACACACAGGAATGAGGAAGAGAGTAAGTGAGTATGGTTTTAGCAACATTAAAAAAACATGGTGGGGGGACACCAGAAATGAGCTTCACAATTGTACTCCTGTGGTCCAAAACAGGAACTTAAGCACGAGCCAACAAAGCTACAATGGTTGACAATGAATCGTCTTACATGTCCTGAACTCTGTAAATACTGAAACGAGATTGCAGTTTTTCCACCCCCGAAAGACAACTGACCCCCATGAGTGTGATTGCCTCTGCCTTTGCCTCTTCTGTCTGCGGCAGGTGGAGGTTCATCTCATCTCCGTCAAAGTCGGCATTGAAGGGGCCACAGCAGCATTCGTTGAAACGGAATGTCCGATTTGGCATCACCTTGGCCTGGAGGAAATTGGTCAGACATCACACCATATTTGAAAAACATATTGATTAGTTTGTAAATAAAAACTCAGTTTTCACACGACTCTCCTACTGAAATGGACATGAAGTGAAGTAAAGTTCAGAAAGATATCATTTTGCCCTCAACACAAAACATGTCAGTGACACGGAGATACAATCTAATACTATTTGAGAGGAATCTCTGCCAGATCATGTCACTGTTAGGTCATCCATGTATCATTGAGACGATGTCTGCAGAACCTCATTATTTACTTAACCACAACTCACATAAAATGCCTGTATACTGAGTTTATGCAGGGATGGCTGCCTGTTGAACAGAACCACGTCACCATCCATAAGATGCCTTTCCACTGTGTCACCAAACTTCAAACTGCTGGCTATTTTCTGACGATTTCCATACTTCAAAAACCTGAAAGAAGGGTCACATATTTCTACAGATGATTGATATTATTATTGCTGGAAGGAAATAAAAGTATGCAGACAGTACCATTTTGCTGAGTGGCAAAACTTTGCAGCTTACATTTACAGCTTACAGCTTACTATTTAGCTATTTAAATTCTACTGTTCTGGAAACATATCACTGTGTGATGTCTCATACCTCTTGATGTTGTTGTCACGCTGCTGGATGAAGTTGGCACCTGGATGGACGTCACAGCCATTGAGCACTAACTGTTTCATGAGTTTGATGTTGGCTCTGTTCACTTTCTCTGGGTAAGTGAGGATCTTGGCCACATGCTCTGGTACTGCTACCTGCAGAACAGTTAGACGATTGGGTTCAGATGGGTTGAACATGGTTCGGAATGGGTTCAGTTGGGTTGAATACTGTTTGTAATGGGTTCAGTTTGGTTGAACACTGCTTGGAATGGGGTTCAGATGGGTTGAACACTGTTTGGAATAGGGTTCAGATATGTTCAGTTGGGTTGAACCCTGTTTGGAATGGGATTCAGTTGGGTTGAAAACTGATTGGAATGGGGTTCAGTTGGGTTGAACACTGAATGACATGGAGTTCAGTTGGGTTGAACACTGCTTGGAATGGGGTTAAGATATGTTCAGTTGGGTTGAACACTGCTTGGATTGGGATTCAGTTGGGCTGAACACTGAATGGAATGGGGATCAGATATGTTCAGTTGGGTTGAACACTGAATGGAATGGGGATCAGATATGTTCAGTTGGGTTGAACACAGCTTGGAGTGGGGTTCAGTTGGGTTGAACACTGAATGAACTGGGGTTTAGTTGGGCTATTGAGGAAGACTGTATATAATGTATGTTTTCTCCCTTGCCTACCTGATCTATCCTCATGTTGGGGTCAGGAGAGATCACAGTTCTTCCAGAGTAATCAACTCGCTTTCCAGACAGGTTTCCACGGAAACGACCCTGTTTGCCCTTCAACCTTTGTACAAACCCTCGCATCGACTTCTTTGGCTAAATTTAAAGAAAAGTTACAGGTGCAAGTTAATGAGTTAAAATATTACAGCTTTTGTTCTAATATCTAGGCTTACGTTTCTTCTTAAATTGGAATGCCAAGTACACTTGAGATCAAAAACAAACAATTCAATTCTTTGTCAAGACACACAGTTTTGTTTAGATCACTATATACATGTATGACCGGATATTTCATTCCACTCAATATGCCAACAAACATCAACTGTTCCTGTTTTGTGACATCAAGACAACAAGATAGGACTAGATGTCTTACACGGATCTGGACACACAGCAAACTGTGCTCAAACCATATCTGTGAGTGAGTGAGTGAGTGAGTTAAAATTTAATGTCACATCGGCAATATTTCAGCCATATCGTGACGAGAACAATTAATTTTATGCATAGTAAGCAATGGTAAACTATAAAAACCCGTCAACGAAGGACAGTAAAATGACTAGATTATCACAGATTCGAATTTAAAATTAGCAATCAAATCTAAAACAGTCTAACTATAGATGACAATACAAGGTTAAAACAGGCTATATATTGCCAACAACTGAAGGTAGATCACCATACCATATCTGTCCATAGCAAGGGCTTTGATTGGTCCTATTCACCATACTGTCCAGACTCACCTGCATGTGGAGCGGGATGCCGGACGTCTCACTGTTGTATAGCAGCGCGCCACCTGGAGCTGCAGAAAGTCCCAGTCTTCCTGCAAACAATGACATCGCGTTATGGACTCATGGAGTGATGAATGTTGCAATATTTGTGTGAATAAAGATTGTTGAAACTTGATCTGAAGTGAATGTCAGAGTATAGACAAACTTTCAGGATACCAATTACTTCGTGTGTGCAACGTATCAATACAGTCAAGCAGGTACAAGCATCTGAGTCAAAACGTCGCACACATAAAACAAAAGTTGTTGTTATCCATAAAGTTTGTCTTTATTGTACTTCCCAAATTTCTAAATTGTAAAATGTTGAGAGCTACTCTGACCAGATTCTGCAAGTCCCTGGCAGTGAGAGCAATTAGGAGTTATCTGCTTTTGTGTATGAGAAACATGACAAACATGATTGTTGGAGGAGTTTTTGGAGGAAACAGATCCTAGAAGGTACAGCCAGCCTTTCTCACCATGATCATCTGCATCTTGGCGCCAGTAGCACGGTGTTTCTGAATGACATCATTCAGGAAAATGATTTCCGTCAGTTTCATTGTAATGTCATCTTCGTTCCTGCAAAATGAAATTTTGAAGGTCGATGATGTACCATTCTAGGTGACATACTTCAGCTTACAGTTTCAAGACAAACCTCCATCATTAGAGTAATGCAGTCTTCAATGTAGGTATTGGTAGTGTGTCAGACAATCAAAACAAAATTGGGGTCATTACAATGCTGGTTGCCATGAGAGACAACATCGTAACTCACGTGCCAGACTTGAGGTCGGAGACAACTGAAGGCCGTATGCAGATAGGTGGGACGAGGATTCGAGTGAGAATGAGGTTTTCTGGTCTTCCCACTGTCTGGTTCATCAACAACAGAGGAATATCCTGTAACAAATATACAGAAACATATAGATGATATATTTATGTTTATCATATAGATCTGAAGTAAAGAATAATGTATGTAGATATTCATCCTTATCTATCAGTATTTATGGTTCGTGTTCTCCTTACTTTGTGATGCTTCTCTTAACCATATCCTGGGAATGACATGCCTTTGGATATCAGGTGTGGATTCAAACCAGGACCTTCAGCATGAAAGGCAAGCACTTTAAACAGTCAGCTGCTCCACTACCCCCTCCTTTCGTTACAAAGAGGGGCGGTAGGGTAGCCTAGTGGTTAAAGTGTCCACTCGTCGCTTCGAAGACCGGGTTCAATTCCCCATATGGATACATTTCTGGTGTCCCCCGCCATGATATTGCTGGAATATTGCTGAAAGTGGCATAAAACCGTACTCACTCACTCACTGTTATAAAGATGCTCTTCTCATTGAGTGAACAAAGGCTTACCTCATCTCGTATCCTCTCAAACAGATAAAGGACTGACAGTGGATTAAGCACCTCCTGCAGCATATACAACATTATACATCAGACTTTGTCTCTGGGGGGAAGGTGACCACAGATTACAATACAACAAAGACTACATGTAATAAACAAAAACAAAAATAATAACAAAATTAGATTGGGCAGTGATTGAACTCAGTAAAGGACATGGTGAAAAACAATTCCATGTTCAACATGATTTGATGGGTTTTTTTAACATTTTAAACTATATGAAAAGAAATAGAAGAATATGCTGCAAAATATTCTACCATTTGATTGTTAAGTCTTTCAAATCCAAGTATTTACCCTATTTAAAAACTGACGTTACATTTAACCAGAGTAAATATTTTACCTGTGTTTTAGGCAAAAGTCCTTCAAGCTCCTTATTGCTTTCACTTGCACTTTGAAATGAACCAACAAACTCGGTAAAAACAGGCTCTCCTCCTTTCCTGTTTTGTTTGTAACGATCATGAATAATCTTTAAGAGACCGCATTTCTTCACCATTCCTGAAAGAGAAACCATATAAAGCAAGGTTTGAAATTAAACATCAAAGTCTGGGGACCTCAACAGAACAGTTGTTGAATGTTACACAAATCGGGGTCCTTGTCAGAACTATTGAATCATGTTACACAAGTAGGGTTCTTGTCAGAACTATTGTTAAATGTGTCATCCTGTGGCTGTGTCATCCTGTGGCTGTGTCACACTGTGGCTGTGTCATCCTGTGGCTGTGTCACACTGTGGCTGTGACATCCTGTGGCTGTGTCATCCTGTGGCTGTGTCATCCTGTAGTGCTATGCTGTGGCTGTGGCATCCTGTGGTGCTATGCTGTGGCTGTGGCATCCTGTGGTGCTATGCTGTGGCTGTGGCATCCTGTGGCTGTGGCATCCTGTGGCTGTGACATCCTGTGGCTGGGTCATACTGTGGCTGTGACATCCTGTGGCTATGTCATCCTGTGGTTGTGAGGGGCATCCTGTGGTTGTGTCATCCTGTGGTGCTATGCTCTGTGGTGCTATGCTGTGGCTGCGTCATCCTGTGGGCGTTACCCAGTGGCTGTGTCATCCTATGGATGTGACATCCTGTGGTGCTATGCTATGGCTGTGTCATCCTGTGGCTTGGTCACCCTGTGGCTTTGTCACCCTGTGGCTGTGTCATCCTGTTTGTGTTATCCTGTGGCTGTGTCATCCTGTGGCAGTGTCATCCTTTCACCATGAGAATGCATCACCCTGTGGCTGTTTCATATTATGACGTGTTTGTTATCTTGCAGTCGTGTAGGCTGACATGAAGTTGAAGTTGAGCAGCCATTGCCATGAACTATCTCAGAGGTATGCCGGATTTGAGGTGAAATAGGAATGTTCTTAGGAATATGCTCGCCCTGAGGTTATGGCTCCACATTCCTGAAAACTCTACAGATCACACTACAGTGATCATAACTTCCATACTAATATAATGCTGACAAACAAAGGATAATAATTGGGGAAAAACTTGAATTCAAACCTATGTATAGTAAATTCCAGACATGGCCAAGGGATGCAATACTGCACCGCAAAGTAACTTGTGCCAGAAAGACAAAACATCTCACCATTATATGTCCCACAGGACCGACATATTGACACCTTTCTGGCAGCATCGTAGATCTTCTTCCTCATAGCTTTCTTCTGGAGGTAGGTCATCCCTGGCCTCTTCAGAGCCTCCAGGAATGATTTCTTATCAGCAGCATGCAGCAGTAGGTGGCTACAGTTCTGAGAGAAAGCGATGGAATAGTATAATGAAGAATTGGCAACTAAGTGAGTGGTTTCAAACTGAACAATGCTTTGATGTTTATCGGTGCCATTGTGAAGAAAGCAACAAAATACACAGCACTAGCTCGCCACATGTCAGAGCTGCGACAATCTAAAACACAGGGCTCGATTTAAGAGAGGTTAACCTACTTGCACCAGGTGCAACCTAAGATAAAAACTGAGTTGCACCAGCCAAATTCCAGTTGCAATGTAGTGTGTTAAAACATCAGAGGTTTCAGTGCACATAAACATATTTCCGTGATGTAGAACCTATGAAACCATAGCAACACAGAGACACAGCTGATCCCTGTTTACAAGAGCTGTCATAGCCGAAACGTGTATATGAATAGCAATATTTCAGTGCCATAGCTATTCAAAGTTTAGAAGAAACATGAGCTGACATATTTATGCTTATAATGTTAGATTTATTGTTGATTTATTTCTCACAAATTGACTTGCACCTTGTGCAAGTTAAGACTCATAACTAGGTTGCACTTTGTGATATTGTGTTGCACCAGTGCAAGTAACAAAGCACTAAATCGAGCCCTGAAATACCATCATGTATCTGCATTTCATTTCAGTTTCTGTTGTTTTTCACCTAGCACGTCTACATACAAATACATTTCAAAATTCGGATGAGTTGTGCATGGCATTTTGACATCTCTAATAATAACACTGTTGTCGGTCACATCAATTTCATATGACTGAGAGATATGTACACACATCATGCTTTAAGGGTGAGCAGTAGACATGGGAAAGTCTGTGTATATGTATCCTACGTTTCTAACATACACATTTATGTGTGACCTTTCCTAAACCACATGAAACATATAATCTTCTTCCTCTCATCTGTTTTTCAGATGGGAAGGATGTATCAAGATTTTGTTAGATGGGGGCAGTTTAAAGAAAGTTTAAAGGTTTGTTGTTTAACACAACATTCACAATAAGATGGTGGTCTGCTAATAATTGATTAAGGCCAAAACAAGTTGGAGATTAACATAATGAACACCAGTCTAACCAGTTTGGAAGTCACAGAACCTGCCCATCCAATTCATTTGGAAGCCTCATAAAAAAAGAATATGTTACTGTGGACTGAGATGGTTTCCCAGAATTCCCATTGGTTAGTTGTAACAAATGCAGGCAAATCAAAGCAAGATGTTCATGTTTCTCTACCTTACAAATCATTTGTAATACTGTTATAGTTGTCCTGAAAAATCCAATATGGAAAACAGGGAGTTCCAGTTCTACGTAACCATAGTGACCAGTACAGTCTGCGAGGCCCTTGCCGCATGTATCACACGTGTTGTCCTTCTCACTGGTCCCCTGAAAGGAGAAAGGCTACTGCAGAAACATACATATAAACAAAACACACTGGACATATAAAATAAACATTACATTACAAATACCATTTGATGACATCGACTGAATTAGGTTTTGTTTGCTGCACAACCCAGCACTGTGCAACATTCCGGTTTAATATGACGGTGTGTAAGTCTGGACCAGACAATACAGAGATTAACATTCCGGTTTAATATGACGGGGTGTAAGTCTGGACCAGACAATACAGAGATTAACATTCCGGTTTAATATGACGGTGTGTAAGTCTGGACCAGACAATACAGAGATTAACATTCCGGTTTAATATGACGGGTGTAAGTCTGGACCAGACAATACAGAGATTAACATTCCGGTTTAATATGACGGGGTGTAAGTCTGGACCAGACAATACAGAGATTAACATTCGGTTTAATATGGACGGGTGTAAGTCTGGACCAGACAATACAGAGATTAACATTCGGTTTAATATGGCCGAGGGTGTAAGTCTGGACCAGACAATACAGAGATTAACATTCGGTTTAATATGGACGGTGTGTAAGTCTGGACCAGACAATACAGAGATTAACATTCCAGTTTAATATGACGGTGTGTAAGTCTGGACCAGACAATACAGAGATTAACATTCCGGTTTAATATGACGGGGTGTAAGTCTGGACCAGACAATACAGAGATTAACATTCCGGTTTAATATGACGGTGTGTAAGTCTGGACCAGACAATACAGACATTAACATTCCGGTTTAATATGACGGGGTGTAAGTCTGGACCAGACAATACAGAGATTAACATTCCAGTTTAATATGACAGTGTGTAAGTCTGGACCAGACAATACAGAGATTAACATTCCAGTTTAATATGACGGTGTGTAAGTCTGGACCAGACAATACAGAGATTAACATTCCAGTTTAATATGACGGTGTGTAAGTCTGGACCAGACAATACAGAGATTAACATTCCAGTTTAATATGACGGTGTGTGAGTCTGGACCAGACAATACAGAGATTAACATTCCAGTTTAATATGACGGTGTGTAAGTCTGGACCAGACAATACAGAGATTAACATTCCGGTTTAATATGACGGTGTGTGAGTCTGGACCAGACAATACAGAGATTAACATTCCGGTTTAATATGACGGTGTGTGAGTCTGGACCAGACAGTTTAATATGACGGTGTGAAAGTCTGGACCAGACAATACAGAGATTAACATTCCAGTTTAATATGACGGTGTGTAAGTCTGGACCAGACAATACAGAGATTAACATTCCAGTTTAATATGACGGTGTGTAAGTCTGGACCAGACAATACAGAGATTAACATTCCAGTTTAATATGACGATTGTGTAAGTCTGGGCCAGACAATACAGAGATTAACATTCCAGTTTAATATGACGGTGTGTAAGTCTGGACCAGACAATACAGAGATTAACATTCCAGTTTAATATGACGGTGTGTAAGTCTGGACCAGACAATACAGAGATTAACATTCCAGTTTAATATGACGGTGTGTAAGTCTGGACCAGACAATACAGAGATTAACATTCCAGTTTAATATGGCCGGTGTGTAAGTCTGGACCAGACAATACAGAGATTAACATTCGGTTTAATATGACGGGTGTAAGTCTGGACCAGACAATACAGAGATTAACATTCCAGTTTAATATGGACGTGTGTAAGTCTGGACCAGACAATACAGAGATTAACATTCCAGTTTAATATGACGGTGTGTAAGTCTGGACCAGACAATACAGAGATTAACATTCCAGTTTAATATGACGGTGTGTAAGTCTGGACCAGACAATACAGAGATTAACATTCCAGTTTAATATGACGGTGTGTAAGTCTGGACCAGACAATACAGAGATTAACATTCCAGTTTAATATGACGGTGTGTAAGTCTGGACCAGACAATACAGAGATTAACATTCCAGTTTAATATGACGGGGTGTAAGTCTGGACCAGACAATACAGAGATTAACATTCCAGTTTAATATGGCCCGGTGTGTAAGTCTGGACCAGACAATACAGACATTAACATTCCGGTTTAATATGACGGGGTGTAAGTCTGGACCAGACAATACAGACATTAACATTCCGGTTTAATATGACGGGGTGTAAGTCTGGACCAGACAATACAGAGATTAACATTCCAGTTTAATATGACGGTGTGTAAGTCTGGACCAGACAATACAGAGATTAACATTCCAGTTTAATATGACGGTGTGTAAGTCTGGACCAGACAATACAGAGATTAACATTCCAGTTTAATATGACGGTGTGTAAGTCTGGACCAGACAATACAGAGATTAACATTCCAGTTTAATATGACGGTGTGTAAGTCTGGACCAGACAATACAGAGATTAACATTCCAGTTTAATATGACGGTGTGTAAGTCTGGACCAGACAATACAGAGATTAACATTCCAGTTTAATATGACGGTGTGTAAGTCTGGACCAGACAATACAGAGATTAACATTCCAGTTTAATATGGCCGGTGTGTAAGTCTGGACCAGACAATACAGAGATTAACATTCCAGTTTAATATGACGGTGTGTAAGTCTGGACCAGACAATACAGAGATTAACATTCGGTTTAATATGGCGGTGTGTAAGTCTGGACCAGACAATACAGAGATTAACATTCCAGTTTAATATGGCGGTGTGTAAGTCTGGACCAGACAATACAGAGATTAACATTCCAGTTTAATATGGCCGATGTGTGTAAGTCTGGACCAGACAATACAGAGATTAACATTCGGTTTAATATGACGGTGTGTAAGTCTGGACCAGACAATACAGAGATTAACATTCCAGTTTAATATGACGGTGTGTAAGTCTGGACCAGACAATACAGACATTAAAATTCCAGTTTGATATGACGGTGTGTAAGTCTGGACCAGACAATACAGAGATTAACATTCCAGTTTAATATGACGGTGTTTAAGTCTGGACCAGACAATACAGAGATTAACATTCCAGTTTAATATAACGGTGTGTAAGTCTGGACCAGACAATACAGAGATTAACATTCCAGTTTAATATGACGGTGTGTAAGTCTCGACCAGACAATACAGAAATTAACTTTACGAGCAATAATCCATTCCACTGAGCTTCAATGATGAAATCAATTTAGTCACAGACACAGAATTGTTCATTACTTCATCATACCAAATGTCCAGCATAGGTTTCTAGAGAACTATTTCAACACAGAATTCTAAGAGGCTGACATAAAATCATGTTGATAAAAGCACTGGTGGTTCACCGACTATAGAGAGTGACAACAGTTCTAGTCAGAAGTAAAATATTACATGCTACTGACATGTGTGAAACATTTATACATCAAATCAAGTTACATACACTTATCTTCCCTGAAATACTCTCAGCATAACCCATGATATCATGTCTGGAACAATGACTTGCCAATATAAACTGTAAGCCATTAAAAACGCAATTGGTATTTGTTGTCCTGAAACTTACAAAAGTTCTATTGAAGATGTTTTCCTGCGATACAGAGGATGTAGGGATAAAAGGCTGTTATTCTGGCCCATTTCGAGTTTGAGTCCCGGAGCATTCCTCTCACATGAAATTTGATACTTAAAACTGAACCTTTGACATTTCTCGTTAACACAACCACATTCATGAAACACGTTGTGCACATGCATTACCTGCACCCAGGCCCTGTAAAAGCACAAGGAATTGTGGAACTCAATCACTTTGAGGAAATGCCACACTTGACACAAGACGAAAGGAATCAGGTTATCGGTATGGTCAGCCAAGGTGCTTCAGATGTGATGATTGCCAGGCACTTTAATGTGCATCCATCCACTGTAAGTCGACTCAGACAACGTTTTCGGGCTACCGGAAGTGTTGCTGATCGTCCGCGACCTGGTGCACCACCTGTGATAACAGCTCGACAAAACCGCAATATCCGAGTTTCCCACTTGCGAAATCGGTTCCAAACAGCTGATGATTAGGCTAATGATTAGGCATATTATTAGGCAAGGAGGACAATTGGGACAAGTCAACGTCATTTCAGCGCCCAAAACGTGCAAGGACGCCTTGCTGCCTTCAACATCCGGTGTCGTCACCCGTACCGTGGTCCAACCTTATTGCATCGCCACAGACTTGCCAGACAGCGATGGGCAGCAAATGGTGCCAATCTTGGCAACAGGACATGGCCAGATGTCGTCTTTTCAGATGAATCCAGGTTTAACTTATCCTTTGCAGATGGACGTCAACAGATTTATCGACATAAAGGAGAAAGACTTGCGCCAAACTGTGTCCTTGAACATGATCGTTTTGGAGGGGGTGGTGTCATGATCAGACCACAGACCATCAGAGGCTGCAGACCATCCAACAGCTGTTCCTGAGAAATGTGTGTCTTTCAATGCCCCAAAGACTGCGAGCATGTCTTGCAGCGCACGGTGGCCACACACGATATTGACTGCAAGTGACCCCTCCTTTGTTTGATGTTGTTGTTGCATCACTGATGTTGTTGTTGACTGGACATTTTCAGATGAAATTATTCACAGATGTTCACTTACAACATATCTGCCAGTTAGGTGATTTTTATATATACTACCCATCAAAAGTTTAGACTCACTAGTGTAAATGTAGCCACTTACTTGTCCACTGTTCTAAACTAGCTTTTTGCAAAATATTCCATACTGTTTAAAGGTACTGTTTAGTTATGAACTGGTGTATTGTAAAACATATTCGTAACATTGAAAAGATTATTGTCATGAGTTCAGTAAATGATTAAAATCTGTGAAAATTGGCGAATTCTTAACAAAACTTTACACCAAAACGAATCTGTTCACATGCACGACATTTGCTCATGCCTTTCGCAATTTGAAGCATCATCCTTGTGCAATTCATCTGCATAAGGTTTTCAGTTGGTTCCCCCAAGTTGGTGGAGCAATTCATCTTCGATGTAACCACATACATATACATAACATATAGTGAGTGCTTTAAGTGAGTCTAAACTTTTGATGGGTAGTATATGTTGAAATTAGTGTGAGTAAAGAAAGTATGAATGTCAAATTGCATTTTTAATGGCTTTCAGTATAGATACTTTAACAAGTACATTACAAGATCTATGCTCAAGGGAATGATTATGATGATTACGAAATTCTACCAAGACTGCAGTTCTAAAGACTATCAAAAGTTACCAAATCCTGCAAAATATTTTGAAGCAACTAGTTCAGTGAACGGCACCTTGAATGCCACTCACCATCTTGTGATCCAGGACCCCGAAGGCCACAGGTTTCCTGCTTCCATCCTGGTTGTAGAGGTTCTTGCAGGTCACCTGTATGTGTGCTACTTGCTGCATCTCCTGGGGAGTCATCATCCCAAACGTGACGTGGGAGCTACAGCACAAGTGGGTGGTCATCAATTTTGTACACATATACTACGGGGGTTGGGGATGGTTTGTCATTGATTTGGTATATGATATGCATGGGGGTGGGTAGGGTGGGGGTGTTTCAGGACAGGGAACACTAGATACAGCGCGTGGCCATATTATTACGTACAATTGTAAAGGCGTTAACATTGTGTATACCGATGCCCTTTTTTAAAATACTGCTACTCAAAAACGACACCGCAAATCGTCGTAATATTTTGTCACATGATTGACCATGATATCATGTGTCTGTCACGTGACTCTATTTTTAATCCATTTGTAGTATGCTACATATTCTGGTTATTTCCTGCAACAATGGGGAAATCGGCTTTTTGGTCAGAGCCACTTAAGAAATTAATTGTAAAAAATGTTCTAACATTGCAAGATTCTTTGGAATGCCTCGAAGCAGCGTATATTCGGTGGTAAAGCAGTTTAATCGATGTGGATCAGTCGAGAATGCTCTCAGAACAGGCCGTATGAGAAAACTGACTCCTTGGACAATCGACAACTTTTGAGTTTGGTCAGAGACAGTAGGATTTCACCTTTGGGTGAAATAGCTGAGAATTTGAACAACAATAGGGCTACACGTGTATCGGTGAGGACTGTAAGGAGACGATTATATGAAAATAAATTTCATAGACGTGTTAATGTCAGAAATCATTTGGTTTGGGCAACGATATCGTACAGTGATCAATTACTGGAATCAAGTAAGCTTCTCTGATGAGTGTAAAATTATCATTGAGGAAAACAATCATGTTTTTGTTTGGAGACAGCCCTGTGAATAATACCTCCCGCCATGTCTTTGTCTGGGACGACAGCCACTCGTCAGTTTGATGGTGTGGGGATGTATCACCTGGCATGATGTTGGTACCATTTGTGTTGTTAATGGCAACATAAATGCTCAGAAATACACAGAAATCCTCGATGATATGCTTTGGCCCATTATAACCAGACATTTTCCGGGAAACCAGTACATCTTCCAAGATGACAACGCCCCTGTACATCAGGCCCGTGTCATTCAGGAGTCCAGACGAAAATATTATTGAGAACTGTTGGCTCTACCTGAAGAATATACTTCAGGGACGCTGAAGAAACATTCAGTCGGCTGCCGACTTTAAACGCGTAGTGCGGGACATCTGGGAAAATATTCCCCTCGATTTCATCAGAAATCTTTATTCATCGTTTCCAAGGCGGATGTTGAAAATAATAAGGAACAAGGGACACATCAGAAAATATTGAGGTAAGACTGTTTATATTTAACGAGTAATGACACTTTGAACTCCCTCGAAAATTTGTCGTCAACAATCGGTTTGCCATATTTGTACGTAATAATATGGGCACCCGCTGTATGTGCTTCACACATTGTACGCATTGGCGCGGATCGGTGTTGGGGGGGAGGGGGGAGATGTGGTTTTGTCATGGTCAGGGGAATTGAATCCAGGTCTTCTGCTGAAACACTTTAAGAACGAGGCTACAAAACTGACAGCAAGATTGCATACAAGAAAGTCCGGTAATTCCGCATGTCCGGTAATTCTGCACAGCTGCAATAGCGTACTTCCGTATCGAAGGTAAACATCGTCTGCTACCACATTTACGCTTGAAATCGGGACATTTCTACAAGGGACTGGCTTTTAATCACTAAAGGTAAGTAAATAACTGTAATTGACTGATAAATTAACAGTTTTATGAAAATTCGTTTTCTTCAGACTTTCAAGCCTTTTTCTTCATTATTCATAATTGGATTTAATATGAAACACTCTTCCTTACATTGGTGAAGTGATTTTTTAAAATAATTGGCCCTACTACGTTTCCATACTTAAGATCTCCAGCTGGTTGTTATGCGCCTCAGTTGCTGCGCAGAACTACCGGACAGCAAGCGAAGTCGTCAGAACGCCGGTAAGGTCAACCGTATGGCATAATGCAAGATTTTAATAGTCGTCAATAAAACTTATATTTCTAGGTAAATATGATGCATACCAGCATGATTAGTCGCGTAAACCACAAAAAATAAGAGACGTTAGTTGCCGTGTTGCGATCGATGTGCTTAGGTGCGCGGAATTACCGGACGGCATTGTAGTCAATAATTAGTAAAGATAGAAACATTGTTATCAAGGTAGATTTGCACAATGTGTATGAATCTTAAAGTGTCTTTTTTTCATTATTTTAATATACAAGATTTACGTATAAATAGAGTACATTGTCATTGATAAAACACATCTTTATAACAAATTATTTTGCGCTAACGGTCTCAAGAACGATGTTGTGTTCGAGGACACCCTACATGGATATTTGCCGAATAGTTTTTCGTGTCACTTGGAAGGCATAGACGTCTTAAAGCATTTCTTACATTTTCTTGGCCACATCGGCCTCTCTGAACTGTTCCTTCACCATTGTCACTTATTATGTCAGCGCACTTATGTCAGTAGCATCACAATATTCCAACAAGTTCTTCCACATCTAAGACTTTGCACATGTTTTCGTCAGTCTTATTTTGACCTATACCCGTGTATGCTTTCCGATGAAAGATTTGCGCATAAATAGCTTAACCATGTTAACTAGACAGACACCAGTCAGATAACGAAGGGACAGACTAAACCAGCATTGCTCCGAAATGGCAAGGTGTATTAAGTTAAACTGATCAAAGAAACGTCTGCATCATGATTTTAAGAAGAAAGTGACATCTAGTTGTAGCAATCGCCTGATTATGTTTTAATTTCTTATTTTGCATTAAAAATTACAAGATGACTTAAGAATAAAAGTATTCAATACATCTGAAAACTTTCAAAATGGTTTGCAAATGTTGATATTGTGCATATCCCCTTGGTCTAAAGTGCATTTGTTTGTCAGAAAAAGGAAAGGGGGTTGGGGGTGGGATGGATTTGAGTGAAAGCAGTTTGTGTGCTTGCGCGCGCGTGAGTGTATCATGCTATTGAATTGTTCACTTTACACAAACAAAGGGAGTGTCTCAAGATTAGATTTATGAAATAAGTTCTACTAAAGATCTGTGCCTTGACATGGATGTTTTATTCATATTTTACAATTTCCAATATGGGTGTGGTCTGTTTTTAACTACAATCATTTTGCCGGGTAATCATCGATAACAGCGGGCGATAACTCTGATATACCAGCCTCCGAAATAGTCTATTTCAATGTATCAGACCGAGACAGACTCAGGGACGTATGTTCAGCATAAAGGCTTAGAGGCCAAATAAAAAATATTTTTTAATTTTTTGTACATGTAGTTAAGAATTTACATATATCAAGTTTCCAGTGTTGAGAAAATATTAACATTGAAGAATAAACAAAAGATTTGTATGGGACAGTTTAGGATTTAAAATATTCCAGGCTTATCTTGGAAAATATTAACGAGCAGGCTGGATAAAACAAGGAAACCTTCATATGGAAATTTACGAATTGATTTGTTTCTTTTAAAGATGGAAATCTGAACATTTTTATTGTGTTCATATTTTTGGACCAAAGAGCATTATTCCAGATTTGTTCACTTCAGATTGCAAAACATATACTCATGCCAATAATGGTTGTTTGGGTTCAAGTATATATTTTGAACTTGCATATTTGTCTGATGAAAAGTAGTTGAAACCTTTGAATGGTTACAAGGCCGAGCAAACTACTAGATTAATATTTGTGTTAAAGTATGCAGGGGCGGATCGCGCGCGCGTGCGTGCGTGCGTGGGTGCGCGTGTGTGTGTGTGTGTTTTGCGCCGGTGCGCACCCCCCACACCCTTTCCCCGAAAAATATTCCCTGAGGAGCATTTCCCCCCTAACTTTGGGCTTCATGATCTATGTGTATCCCCCTTCTCCAAGATTCTGGATCCGCCCTTGGTATACATATAAACATGTATCATTGTGCTCCCTTCATCTATCAAAACAAACGAATCCACTCGAATGGAAATGTTGCTCCAACCATTTGGGAACTTACGAAATCAAGGACTGTAATGGAATACTCCACAGTTTTGTTTGTTCAAACTCTACCCAAACAATGGATACGGAAACTCTTTAGGACCTACGTACGTATACGGTGACTCATTATATGCTGACACTTTTTGTTCTGGCTAAGATGCAATATCAAATTTGCTTCTTTCTTTTTTTCACGTATATGCGTCTGGTGAAAAGTTTTGTTAAGAATTCGTCAGTTTTCACTGAGTTTCATCATCTATTGCACTCATGACAATAATCATTTCAACTTTACGAATTTGTTTTACAATACATCCAAAAAATTATGCTAAAATTATGGGAAGGGGGAAGGGAGGTCATTGATTTTGTATATGATATGCAAAGGGGGTCACTTACATTGTACGTAAATTTAGGGGGGGATCATTCACATTGTACATGCTTCTGCATAAAAATCATCACACACACACACCTTTGCCATAAATTTCTAACGGTCCCTTAACAGTGTGGAATATTTTGCAAAATCTAGTTTGGATCAGTTGACTGAAGTAAGTGGCTACATTTACACTAGTGAGTCTAAAGTTTTCATGGGTAGTATACATGCACATAAAAGACTTCGTCTTGTTGCAAAAACTATGTTACGTCCTACAAACATTCTTTCTGTTTCGATGCCAAACGAACGCTTATGAAGCAGTAATAGGTTTTTCACAGTAATAAAAAACAAAAAAACAAATGGACAATTCATATTATATATGTGTTCTTGATGTATTTTGTCGTAAATATTTGGTTATCGTTTTACAATCGTTTTAGGTTCGACGTACGGCATTGATTTTCATACTTCCCATTGCACAAACCCTCGACCACAACGTCCAACACAAAGACGTTGCAAGGAATACCATAAACATTTCTGAGGATCAAAAAGACGTTCAGATTATTCTTAAAATGCATGCCCAAAGCTGTTACACTCAAATAACAAAAAAATCAACGTAACATGGACGCTAATCTATGGCCCTTTTGACTTTTCTTTGGCCCTTTTGACTTGTCCAGTTTTAGCCCTTTTGTCCTTTGGCCCTTTTGACCTGTTCCCAATTATGGGAACTAAAACTCATGTTTAGATTTTTATAAGGATTCTAAACTAATTTTCTAATCCTCACATGCAGTGTGAATTTGCATGTGGCTAAAAAGTTTTAAGTTTCTTATTTTTCGGTCGAAAATCGAAATACTCATTAGCAAGGGCGAAAATGTTTTTGTTGACTTTTCGGAAACAGCTCATAGCAGTTATAACTCATAACGAGGCATATCTAGCAGGCAACTTCCGGCGGCCATTGTGTAACTCGTGGAGAACGTTTTGCCGCTGTGTGGTATTTTTCCTGCATAGTGAATCACGTCGACAATGTTTACACCGAATCCTTTGAAAAGACCTTTCGAAGGGGGAGACAATGTCTCTGGTAAACAATTTACTAAACCTACTTTGATATGAGGCTGTTGACATTAAAAAACGACTGTTCGAGAATCTGGGCCCAGTAGATGTGTGTAGTGTAGAAACTGTGCCAGTGGGCCAATTGGAACCTTGTCAAGAATCTGATTCTTGTCCAGGTGATCTCACCACATTCTTTCATGTATTATTCACAATCATTTGATTCATTAAGCAATGTAGATGTTGACCTTTTTTCCATCATGCGGTGGTCAGACTCGCTAACTTGGTGGACTACCCGACTACTCGTGAAGATCTGTGTGAGAATATTGGTCATCACACATGTCATGCTCATGTTGTTGATCACATTGTCTGGTCCAGACTTAATTATTTACAGACCCCTGCCATATAGCTGGAATATTGCTGAGTGTGGCGTAAAACAACAAACCAAAGTCATCATGCCATCACAGAAATCAAAACGTTGAATGCCTTGCCTTTGGCTACACCATAATAAAAAATTTCTTTGATCTAAGGACGCTTCCAAATGAAACCAATGATATGTGCTGTCATAACAAGAATGTCACACAGGACATTGTTTGTCTCACTTGTACAGGGTCTTCTCTGTGTGAAATTTTGAAATCCATATTCCCAATATGAAAGAACGGCAATATATTTATAAATTCCCTTCATGACATTGTTTTGGAGAATATTATCCTGGCGTAATGTAAATTTGCGGACATCTATTTTCGTGCACCTATCATTTCCGGGTTTACGCGGTCGCTACATACAAAGTTGTGATGTCAAATTTCGTGTTTGTAAACAAGAAGTGGTCTTCGTTTTCCTGCTGTCACGATTTGGAAATCACAAGCTTCAAAGGAGAGTTTTTTATCCAAAGTTTTCTAGCCAACCTATTTTTATGCTTCTGCACTAATGCGAAAACATCGAGACGAAAATGAGCCCTAAAAATAGTTTTCATTCATGACAGCACCGATCTACCGGTCGTCTGCATTGGTGAATGGTAACGCTGAAAGGTCATGACCCTAGAAGGTGGGGTGTTGCCCGGGAAAAATAATTATGGAAGCCCATTTCAGACACAATCCTTATAACTTTACAACACATTTTCATGAAAAGTTACTAAGTAAAAGCAATTATAATGACTTTATATGATCAAATCAAATAGTTTAAATTAATGAATTATGAAAATATACTTGTGTTTATTCAGTAAAAGTCTCCAAAGTGATGTTGAATATGTTTTAAATTTTCATTCAAGATTACTCTAATTTGTTCTTGTTTAAGTGCGTCTTTTTTATAAAAATAGACAAAATTAGACAAATTCTGAACATTTCCTGACAAAAACCCTCTTATCAGTAAACGTGAGACATGAACTTCAATATTACATCGGTATCAGCTTTTGGCGTAAACTATTCACAATACTGTTTGTCCGGTTTTTAGCTTTCACGAATATTGATGACGTTGCGCGCAACTGACCTAGATACTGTAGTGTGGATGATAGCTTCGTCCCGCTACGATAGCGATGTGTCAAAGGCTGAAACTTATGTTATAACATTTTATATTGATGAAGGTTTGTATAATTGTTGATTTTCATGTACCTTGTTAATTCCGCATACCGTGCCGAAACGTGTTAGGTGCGCGAATATTGATTACGCGAGGTTATAGTAATCATGGACAGTTACTCTTCTGAAGCTGTCCATAATAATATTGTCACAATCGATATGGATTCAGTGTAACATGGTTGTAAAAAGGACATTATTTCTAGGGGCCCCCCCAAAAATATGTCCGTTTCCGGTAACCCGACCGACCCTATCCTCACACACACTGTCTGTTTGACCCAAAGACCAAATATCGTTTGGGTTTGTGGTTTGAGTGTTGACAAATATCATCAGACTCAAATCCCTAAATCAAAAGAATTTTGCAGATCATATCTTGTAGATGATGCTGTTGTTAAGCTGTAGAAATGTGAGAAGATGGGCCACGTTTTCATAGAGTTGTTGTTTTTATTAGGTCATTTGATATACACAGAATCACAATAAGAGGAGATAGATTGCTAACAATGTGTGGTCAGAACTTTTTTATCAGACTTCAGCTGGGGTAGACACCATTGTTCATATCCAACTAGTCTCCATCTCACTTTGGACCAGTGAGATATGTAACATAATTAGTCCTGAAGTCAATTCATTGCGTTAGCCTTTTTCTCTTAGGTTGGGGTGCAGGAAGCAATCCAAATGTGGGCAACAGTGCTAGCAAGGCAGAAGATAGGAAGAAAAAGAGGCGAAGTCGATGGAATACTGAGTTTGATGACAAGACTGTTATTCCAGGAATGCCAACGTACATTCCACCTGATCTCACAGCTGAGCAAGAACGACAGTACTTGGGTAAGAATTCGATCAAAACACTTTCAATTATGGACAATCTTCAGTTACTACAAAGTTTATCTTGATAGAAATGTACTTTAATGCGAACAGAGTTTAAATTTCAGATACAAAAGCTGGTTTGGTAACAATGAAGATATTGAGAGACAGTGCTTGAATAACTTATTTTTGTTTTTTGTACTGTGTGAATGAATGGCAATCGACATGAGATTGTCTTTGTTTTGTCATGTTGTCTATGATCATGATGATAGTGAAATGAGTTTAAGCAAATATTATATTGTGGTTACATGAACACATTTCGATGCTTGATGAATGATATGCTCTGGATTTAACTAAGCTTTATTGTGTGTTGTGTATTTTCATGTACTCTTCTAGCATGTCTATTAAGGACTATCAGACTGACTTCAACCATTAGTACAGAACAGTGAGACTAGTATCATTTGCTAGTATTAGACCTTAAATTCACATTAAAATCTACCGAAAAAGATTGTGACAATTTTCGGCTTGTGAACCTGTGTGATTTTAGGAACGGATTGGATTGGTTTGTTGTTTAACCATGGACCAGACAATCCAGTGATCAACAACATACGCTATTGGATACAATGACATGAGTCAACCAAGTCAGTCAGTCTGACCACCCGATCCTGTTAGTTGCCTCTTGTGACAAGCATGAGTTTCTGAAAACCAATTCTAACCCACATCTTCATGGGTCAGAACAGATTGGAACATCTTTTGATCACTGTAAATTGTAATGTACTTCAGATATTAGGGTTCATCTGCACAATGTTTCTGAGAGAAAGGTCGAAGATATGTGTATAGGCTTTATAATTAGTTTGTCTTTGGCATCATTTATTTTCAATGTTTGATAAAATATAATTTATTTCAACATGTCCAAAATATAAGAAGTGAGTTTGATGATAGCAATGATAAACTCACCATCGCATATTTATGTCAATGTACTATTCACAATTACAAAACACCAAACTAAATTGAAAAAATATCTGTATTATCTTTTGTGCTGAAATTATTTTTACCCACCATTGTTATTTATTCATGTACATGACAATCTTGCTGGACTTCATGATGGCTAAATACCTTTTTTGCCCACAGGATAATATAGTATCATCATGTTTTCACAAAAATACTCCCATACAATATTCATAGTGTTTGCAATTCATTGACCAAATATTTCAGAAGGAAAGGTAAGGCTACCTGAAAATAATTATTTAATTTTCAGGCTCCGCTATTGCAAGATTCTAAATAATTTGGTGTAAATTTCAGTATCACCATTCTGGACTTGTCACCCATGTTTCATGATTAGGCATGGAATTAGTCTTCATCATGAAAGTAGGTCCTACTGCAGTGTTAACTTTTATCGTTTTATTTAAGACATTGTAAGTGTAAGATATCTCAACGAGATCAATTGTGACTTTATCTGTCACAATCTTTTGTCAATGCCAGGCATTTCTTTTAACAAGCTAATGTTTGAAGAACCTCAACATGATTGGTGAAAATATAGCAAATCAGACGAATTTGATACCACAGTTTATTTTTACTATTTATGGCAGTTCTGTTAGGTTTAGTAACTACCTCTCGGCATGTTCTTAACAAAACAAAAATTTCAGTGTCAGCAAATCTTTTCTTTAGGGCCATTCCACTGATATTGCATTGTATAGTTCTCAACACCTTTGCAATATTAATACCTCTAGCCCTGTTTATGGTTAAATCAGTGTTGCAGAAAGGAATAAAGTATTGCTGAAAATGCGAAAGTTGGCCATTTTCCTCCATGGTGCAACCTGAACCAAAGGGAAGCAACTCAAATGTGAAGCAGTTGTAATTCTTGCTTATACTTTTGTCAATTTTGAGGCCCTATTGAAAAAGTAGTACCTACCGCATAGATCTACAGTACATCAGCATGAACTCTTATAGTGTTTTCTTGTGTAAATAGGGGCGGTGGGGTAGCCTAGTGGTTAAAGCATTTCCATGTCACGCCGAAGACCCGGATTTGAATCCCCACATGGGTACAATGTGTGAGACCCATTTCTGGTGTCCCCAGCTGTGATATTGCTGGAATATTGCTGAAAGCGGCGTAAAACTGAACTTACTCACTCATTCTTGTGTGCATAGGGGCATAGGAGTAGCCTAGTGGTTAAAGCATTCGCTCATCACGCCTGGGAAGACCTTGGTTTGCAGCCCATATCTGATGTCCTCCACCGTGACATTGCTGGAATATTGCTAAAAGCAGCATAAAACCTCATTCACTCACTCTTTTAAATACCCAATCTATCCTAAATGCTACAAAGTGGCTGAAGCATTGTTAAAGTAGACATTTAAATACACTACGCAACATACTCAAAAGAATTTAAGAACCGTCAATTCTTTAATGTTGCTGCATTTAATCTGTCATTACATTAAGTGTTGTACTATGAAAGAATGTGGTGTTCTTTAACCTCTTTTTACGGAGTATGTAGGAAAACTGTGATTTTGAAGCTAGTTTCAGTACATTCCCTGTTTTGGTAAACATTGTAAAATGCTGCTGAAACTGACTATGAAACATTATCTTTTTGTCACTTTCGATAAAAATCATTTGGAACTTTCTTTTAGAATCTGTGATGAAAAATTCAAAATTCAATCCCAAATAAACAAAGTCTTGCAAGGACAGTCCAGAATGGTTCTTAACAGTTACTTTTGTATGTGTTAATGACCAAATGCTGCTACTTTAACCACTTGTATTACAGTGCACCTACAGATTGAAGAAATAAGTCGTAAGCTGCGCACTGGGGACCTTGGCATTCCACCTAATCCAGAACAAAGGTTTGACGCCGGAGGGTTAATCCTAAATGTCATCTGATTTTGTCAACAGCAGCTGCCTGAGCATGGGAGATTGGCACAAACATTGCTAGAATAATTCTTAGATTGTCTCTCGTTACGTTTCTATTGGCTAATATTTCCTTTTATTTTACTGATATTCATAATTCAGTCTTTCTTTTCTTCATTTTGTTAAAATGTGACTTGTTACACCTGAAATGTATTTGACTATTTTTCCAGATTACCTAGTAATAACCAAATTTTCAGCTTTAGGTATTTGTGATGTTTGGAAAGATTAAACAAAGTCAGTAGTATTCATTACTTGATAAGCACAGAAAATGATATTGTCATTTGATGTATGATGTAGCTTCTCCCTTCATTGAAGTACTGAAGTGTGGGAACGGAATGGGAAATTATGATCTGGTAGAACCAAATGAAATGGCAAAGCTTTGTCAAAACACAAGTTACATGAGATATTCTTCACGAAACATCTGCACGGTAGTTCACTATCATTCATTAGTATTCAATGGTTATTTTGGGCAAACTTGTTATTGTTATGTTTTAACTCTGTTTCATTCAAAGGGACCTTTTTAACTAGCCTTGTTTTAGTTGAAGGAATGATGGCTTTTATTCATTATTCTTAGTCAGTTCCAGCTTTATTTCATCAAATATACCGCCTAAGCTCATGAAACAAATTCTGTGTCATTTGTAATTTGGAAAGTGAATTTCATCAAAGAATTAAGAGTTGAAACAAGCAAGTGAGCTTGACAAGCAATGAAGGATCAGTTATGTGCGTGTTTGTGCCAATGAAACACTTCAACGAGGTGGGACCATCGCAACTGGTAATGGTTGTATCTACTACTCTTGTGCATTTAATGTTTTAACAGAACCTGCAATTTATATAACCCTTTCTTCATTAAGAATTTGTAAATGAGTCTAACCTCAAATTGCATCGCAACTAAGCAGAACTTAATTTGATAATCCATTATCTACCATGTATCTATGTCAGTATGATTTGGTTACTCTTTTAAAGAACATAAAATGTTGGATATTATCAGAACAATGCAAGATACAGTAATGGGAGATTTCACAGAAATTATTGCTACAACCAATGCTACACACAAACTGCATGTAGAATAAATCTAAAAGACTTGCATTAGAAGTAAATACTAGAAGATCTTCTTCCACAATATCAATATGTCATATTTGTTTGCATGTTCTTGTATTGATATGTTGGCTAAAATATTCTTTGAAGTAAAGTTGTACTTATGCTATCATTCTGACTCATTGAGACTATTTATTAACAAGTCAAGTTTTAAAATCATGACCAAAATTGAAAGAAATTTGAGGATTCCTTAGCCAGCTTGAAAGTTGCTGACTTGACATAAGTATAATCAGAACTGACTTGTCCATGAAATTAGTAATGTAAAATTTGTTATCCAAACCTTTAGGGCTCTCACTGTGGAGTCAAATGATGTGAACATCTCGCACCTGACCATTATTGCTATTCTATAGCATTTGTAACTAATCTGAATTTTTCTCCCATTGATAATTGACTTTTCTTTTAAAACAACCATGCATGAGTGATAATTGAAATTAGATTTGTGAAATAATGATTATACTCTCTTGATAAATGACTCAAGATCTTTTCCAGCGACAGAGGAAGTCATAATATAGTTGCCTGCTTTCAAGTCTTAATTGCCTTTCTCTTGACAACAGTCACTTTGACAGCAAATTAACAGAATTATTTATCAAAATGCACATGTTTGATAGTATTGTCAGCTCTGATTTTCTGTTAGTCCCATCCTCACTGGTGCATGACAGACCAAAGTTACTGCCAAGCTCTGTGGGTGTAGAGTGCATGTTCTCTTCCCAGTGCACTTTGATATTTCACCTTTCTGTATTTGTAATTATTTTTCTCCAAGTATCAATTTGCATGAAGCACTTAACTACATTAAACTAATAGAAAATATTGACACTGAATATAAATCAACTTCCTTGTTCTCAGAGTCCAACATGGCTATGTGTTATTGGCTTCCTGCACAATTGTATTAAAATATATCTATGTAGTTTTTGGTAAGTAATAACATTTGTACTTGGAGAAAAAGTGAATAATCCCCTACTGTCCTTTCCTGCACTTTCTGTTGCCAACTTATGTAATTAAGATTCCAGTTGTTATATTTGACAAAACATTTTTCAAGTCTGAATAGTCTTTGACAGGCAGTTAGGTAGGAAGGACATCATTCAGTTAGCTCTCAACAGAGGTACTCTTTGTCCTTCTAGTTAATGATTGAACTATTTACATGTAGGAGACTGTACAGCTCTGTAACTCATTCTTTCATTCTTTCATTCAGTTCATGAAACCGTCAGATCATAAAAAGAGTTTCTTTTAAATGTTATAGAGGATCTATTATTATTATTTTTTTTTTAATTTGAATATTTCAGTGAATTGAAATGGTGAATGTTTAAAATATATGAAAATAAGTTCCTACTTCTTCTACAGATTTGTTAAAACATAACAACTTAACTTCTTACATGCATGATTAAGTGAATTTTGTTAAATATAATGCCTAACAGTTATGCCGAGCTTCAGGTTACCATGCAGAGGATCTTCTGTGCCTGTCAATTTTAGTTTCTTCTGTTATCTGGGTACATCATAGCATGTAATGTGAGCATTCTTCGTCCCGGGTTCTCTCCCTCCCTGTACCTCTGTCCCTTCTGTCCATGCCCCACATAGTATCTTACCTCAATAACCCTGCCGCTAGGAGTCTGTCATGCCAGTTGTGGTTGGGTTCCTTTTCTGTGTTTTTATCACATATTTGTTGTCTGCAGATCTCCATCCCCGGGAACCAATTTACAACAACGAGGGGAAGAGGCTGAACACAAGGGAGTACCGGACACGAAAACGTCTTGAAGAGGATAGGCATAAACTGGTGCAGGAAGCACTGCAGTTGAATACAGACTACAAACCACCACCAGATTACAAGTAATAGAACAAAAACAAGATAGTAGGATTTTCCGACATGTCAGCTATTATATGAAAGATATTTTATATGAAGTTAAATTATAAAATACTGAAATTAGTGGTAGTGCTCTTTTCCGGAGCAGAACTTTAAAACCGTTCACTATTTCTTCACCAAACTTGGCACAAAGATAGATCTGGTGGTGTACTGGTGCCTTTTGATAGTTTTGGAATTCTGAATAAAATATTTTTGGCGTTTCCATGGCAACAAGTTTGACTTAGACTGAAATTGGTGGTTGTGCTCTTTTCCGGAGCAGAACTCTAAAACCGTTCAATGTTTCTTCACCAAACTTGGCACATACATACACCTGGTGGTGTACTGGTGCCTTTTGGTAGTTTTGAAATTCTGAATAAAATATTTTTGGCATTTCCATAGCAACAAGTTTGACTTGGCCTGAAATTGGTGATAGTGCTGCTTTCTGGAGCAGAACTTTAAAAACCTTTCAATACTCTCCTTCCACTTTTCTATATACACACCTAAATATTTGACATAATCATAACTCGTAGACATAATCATGAAGAGTATTTTGCCATTGCGGGTGATATTGATGACATTGTCTTCTTGTTGCGTTCCCATGGCAACAAGTTTGATTTAGAAATTGGTGGTAGTACAATTTCGGGAGCACAACTCTAAAACCGTTCAATGTTTCTTCACCAAACTTGGCACATAGATAGATCTGGTGGTGAACTGGTGCCTTTTGGTATTTTTGGGTTTCTGAATAAAATAGTTTTTGCGTTTCCATGGCAACAAGTTTGACTTAGACTAAAAATTGGTGGTAGTACTCTTTTCCGGAGCAGAGCTTAAAAACTGTTCACTGTTTCATCACGAAATTTCATACATAGGTAGGTCTAGTGGTGAACTGGTGCCTTTTGGTAGTTTTGGATTTCTGAATAAAATGTTTTTTTTGGTGTTTCCATGGCAACAATTTTGGCTTCAACTGAATTGGTGGTAGTGCTCCTTTCTGGAGCAGAACTTTGAACCCTTTCAGTACTCTCCCTCCATTTAGCTATATACACGCCAAAACATTTGACATAATCATAACTCGTATACATATTCATGAAGAGTATTTTGCCATTACGGGGGATATTGATGACTTTGTCTTTTTGTTGTTTTCTGGTGATTTAAACTTCTCAAACTCTATGGCTGCAGGCAGGAAATTGTTTCTTTTTCTGGTAATTATTATGACAAGTCAGTCTTTTCCTGAATCAAAGAAATGTTGCTTTGCTTGTGACAGCTTGTTGTGTTGCCAGCTTATGAGATTGATTGATTGTTTTAGACCTCCAGTGGTGCGGGTCAGTGACAAGGTGATGATACCACAAGAGGAGCACCCAGATATCAACTTTGTTGGTTTACTGATAGGCCCCAGAGGAAATACTCTGAAAAACTTGGAAAAAGATGTAAGTGGATATAAAAGTTCTGTCAGTATTCTGATCTTGTGATTAATTATCACTTTTAGTCCCCAGCCGCAATGTGGAACGGGGGACTACATACGTCCCAATTCTTGTTAAAGCGATATCTCATGAACTGTTGTACCCAATGTCTTCAAATTTGATCACAGGCTACATTGGGGGATTACGCAGACACCAGTAGATTTGGGTGACCTTGACATTATGTTCAAGGTCACCATGACACTTTGACCACTTTTCAAACTTATGTAAGCGCGATATCTCATAAAACATTGCACCCATTATCTTCAACCATGTCAACAGCCTACATTGGGTGATTTTGCAGACACCAGTAATTTCTTGTATGTGACCCCAAAATAAAAAGTAGTAAATATGTTATAAATATCTCATTTTTCTTTAGCGACGGAAGACATTGCCATATTAGTGGCAAACACTTGTTTGTATTGTGTTTTGACTTTATCAATATTGAATCTTTCAGTATGATAGAGATTTGTTCTTTTGCAGACTGGTGCTAAGATCATTATAAGAGGCAAAGGATCTGTAAAGGAGGGTAAGATTGGCCGGAAAGATGGGCAGCCGCTGCCAGGAGAAGATGAACCTCTTCATGCGTACGTCACAGCTAACAACCCAGAGAATGTGCAGACTGCTGTTGAGAAGGTAGTGGCATCTGTTACTGTCTTCCTGTATGAAATAACCAGGTGGTATAGGTAGTTAGACATCAAATCTCTCTACCTTAGGTATTGCCACAGTCCAATTACATGTACTTGAAAAGTATGTCCTGATTCAACTGAAAGTCAAGGAATCTTAGGCATTTTCAATTTGCAGAATCAATAAATGAAATAACCAATGTGTATACAAAATGAAATTGTGCATTTAAAAAAAGATTTTCGCCACACTTCCCATATATCCACAAATCAAGTTTATGTGAGTGTACATATTCTTCAAATAAGGATTTAGACAATATATTTTATTTTTCCTTATCCTGACTCATGCTCTTTTGCTTGTCTTCTTCTTCTTGCTAACATAGTGGAACACTTGTATCTCCCTAATTGAAGCTCCCTTCAATTTAAAATCACTAATTAGTATTCACCACGAAGTTACCTCCTTTCCAACAAGCTGAACGAGGGCCACCTCTACCCATGTGCCCCACTCTCTCCTTCTTCGCCCAGTGAGCTGGACGTGAGAGAGCTTCTGTGTCTCCGACACACTATATCCTTTGAAATATATTTAGTTAGTTACCTCGTGATAGACATCTATAGAGGTTTAGCTAGTATCCTTCAACGATTATATATTGATATTTAGTCGCTTTTTCTACAGTTTATTCAATGGACGCGGTTTGTTTCCAGTGGATTACGTTGATGAAAATTCTGTACTATTGCAGATTACGCTTTTTATGCTGCTGCTGATCCGCCTTTAATATGATGTACGGCGCCATGTTTATTATATTCACATTGCAGTTGCGGTACTAATTTATCCAATTCTACCTTTTATTAATATTTACTTTGGCGCTTGGCACGACAGCAGATAGGTCGCTGCGATGCAGACTCTAGTATGACTGATACACCGGAACCCTCGCCAGTCTACTGCTGTTGGCCAATTCCCTCCCGTGGTGGTGTTCCGCTAGAGTGGTGGAGAGGTGTGGACGTAGTCCGCCATCTCCAAGAAGCATCCTGCTTCCCCAGACATCCCATCGCCGCAGCAGAAGACTAGAGGGTTTTTCTACCACATCTCAACAGCCGACCGCTCCCATCGCGAAGTTTGGGCCTGTTTGATGATCAGCCGTCATCATACCAGATGTACATCAAAGATTGACCGATGTCGGCTCAGATCAGCATGCAGCCTGATGTACCAACGCAGATATGCGATGATCGCCCTGAGGGTCCCATCATTACCAACACTCAACGCAGACGCCGCGACACCCAGGGCAGCGCCGACCTCTGAGGGAAAATCAACGAAGTCTACTAGGACTTTCTCAACCGAGATTGTTCCAGCCGATGACCTGGACCTCTACGATGATCAGCTGATCATCATCCCCGACGACGCCACAAGAAACGACGGTGATAGCTACAACGACATCAGCAGAGATCACCATGCAGCCTGATGCCTCTACACTGATGTCGGACGCATTTTCCGTGGACCCTCCATTAACACCGCAGATAAAGCACCGACGCACCTCGCCGCAGACCATCCCAGAAGACATGATGCACAAATTATGAACATCATGGAGGACCACTATATCTGCGCGGTAGCAGGGTCCGAGTTTTTCGCGAAGGCTCCAACGTAGACAGCACCCCAGAGGCACCCCCGGCCAACGTAGCAGCCAGGACGATGTCACCTTCGCTGGAAGGAAGTCACGGACCACCTTTGACGGCGACCTAGATGTACAGCCTTCGCTAAGGCCTTCGCGAAGGCGAAAGGACCTAGATGTACAGCCTTCGCGGCGAAAGAACCTAGATACAGCCTTCGCTAAGGACTTCGCGAAGGCAGGATAGATCATCACCTTATGAGGTTTCATCCCTAGATGTGGACTCGACCATCAGACATCACGGAAGCCGAAGGTCATATCGCCGTCTCCCGACCGACGCAGAGGAAGCTTCGCTAAGGCATGCCAAGGACACCTGAATCCAGATCATCATCATCTAGAAGGACATCGAGGGACTATACAAGAGCTTCACGAAACTATCAACGCTCCTCAATAAGTCTCCGAGAAGATCAACCCATAGACAAGTTGATCATCGATATCAAGTATAAGAACTACAATCGTGATATTGGTTCTGTTGAATCCATGACGAGACGTATGTTCGCTGGCCTAAATAGATCTAGAACGATCAATTAGACACTTATCACCAGACTTCGAATAACCTACTTCTGAATATGATAAGATGATCCATGCGGCCCTATTTTAGGCAAGCGCCACGATCCCACATCCTGTTAAACACAGAGGCTGTTCACGGCAAGCCATATATATATTTATATATATATATATATACTAATCGGTTTTGATTCTCGACACCTTCGCTGATGGTCGCTAAGGCTAAGTGGCTCCAAGTCTACTTCACCCAGAAGATCTAGAAGGGATACTTCGAGAACTTCGCTAAGTCTCCGGGCGCTCACCGAGGAAGTCTCCTCCAAGGTTTCCATATACTAGCCACCGGCCATATATAGCTACTCGTCAGTCCGTTTCAAGACGCCGATAAGTTGATTATCAACTGTATGCCAGATGCCGCCTATAAGCCTACTAAGATAATTGCTCAGGCTATTTATAACACAGAACGCCGCTGTATTATTAGTCAACGACATTTCATAGATCTTCACAGAAATCAACTATTCCGTGATAAATTGCTAATATACAATCCCGGACGACGATACGATTATCTACATGCGACCATTACGCATATCTGCAGACAATTCAATATCGAAATTGAACAGCAGCCTTGTTACAGCCAGTATAACTCTTTAATCGCCAAAGTTTCTGAGAAGAAATATGTACAACAAGTTCAACGCTAATTCTACAATTATGACGATACATTCATGTATACAGTCTACAAGCTCACAACTTGCAAGTTGTTTATACCCTTATATATAAGGAAGTCGGAATTATATTCAAAACTGAAATTACTTTCACGACAACCAGGAAAATAACCTACCCAGCATAAAATTACAGAGCGTAGATATTTCGCTACCGGAGGTTTTCGCTGATTACCATTAACCCTCAAACACGTGGTCACCGGATAACTTCGGAAGCTACGGTGAAGACCGACGCTTATGCTAATATCAACTAATTTACAAGAATTTATTCAAGGTGGGTTTTTCCCCGCTACACCGTGACATCACAGCGCTGGGTATTATACAGAATCAAAATGCCTTGTTCTGATTGGACCGCGAGGGACAACGACCTACACAGAGGTCGCATCTCAATTCACAGTTCAAGACTTACGCCACAAGTGACAACTATATATCAGTGAACGAAAGCAAGCCTCATTACAGTCCAGTTAACCTGAACATTCATGATTAGACTGCCTTCTTCAGTTAGAGACCTCCCCTGTCAAGTTAAGACGAGGGATCGGCAGTCAGGCGATTTTACATAAAGTTCAACGAGGACAGACACACCTGGTTGTGCACCTACATCGCCAAGGACTCTGCGAGCTTAATTACCTAGACGAAGATACAAGTGGATCTAAATCCACAGCGCTTCAGACTACAGCTGAATTTCATCAAGTTTTACTAACACAACTAGATGGTTAGTAAACCTACTAAACTTCTGTTTGGAGAATAAAACGAAATTTCACTTCCAACCTGGGGATATGAATATAGTGTTCCAACACCTCACAAGTGAGGTTTATGAACACGCCTGGATGACATACTTGGACCCCATGATACGATGATTCTATCAAGTTGGCCAGCAAGAGCACTGTAAATTTATCTCCACCTAAACCAAACAGGAGGAAAAAAAATGCAACAGATTATTTCCCTCTATCATCAACTTACGCAGAGTGAAGTCTCATGTACTATATCTCCATTTGGATCAGAACTGTCATACTCACGCGGCATATGCGGATGGACCTATTCCGCCCTCCATGAGCTTAATACTCATGATATTATAGCTTAACTTCTACAATTGTTCTACACAAATGTGATTGAAATAATGGAGGGTTATTTCTGGAACTGATATGGTGGTTGCAAACCATTATCTGAGAGATATCACCACCGAGGACGCCTCAGGTATACACCAATTCGATCCCATGGTCCTCGCAGACAACAGCTGACAGTTCTCTCGAGAAGATAAGTCAATCTAACAGATTTTTACTTATCTTATAACAATACTAAATAGCTTCCATGCTATGTATAATTTACTTAAGTTCCTTTTATCATCACAGTACTATGATTATTACATCATACAATATATAAGTTAACAACTCTACAGAGTTTGTTATTATATATATTTACCTTAAGTTATTCATATCTTAAGAGTAATACTATGGTTACATGATAAATGCATTAGCTAACAAACTCTACAGAGTTTTTGGCTATTTTATACATAGCTTAAGTTAATTAAGCTAACAAACTCTAATGGAGTTTTACTATTATATAGGTAACTTAAGCTAATTATACCTTAAGCATAGTACTATACTCATATTATTAAAATATATTGGCTAACAAACTCTAAGGAGTTTTGCTATTATATAGGTAGCTTAAGCTTATTCATATCTTAAGCTTAGTACTATGTTTATATCATATAAGTAGATTAGCTAACAAACTCTAAAGAGTTTTTTTTTTGCTATAAGTATCATCATATTTCTAAGCAATATGGTTATATTATAACATGTATTAGCTAACAAACTCTACAGAGTTTTAGCTATTATATATGTAACTTAAGCTTATTCATATCTTAAGCTTAGTACTATGTTTATATCATATAGGTATATTAGCTATCAAAACTCTAAAAGAGGGTTTTGCTATTATATATTTCAGCTTAAGTTTCATCATATTTTAAGCTTTATGGTTACATTATAACATGTATTAGCTAACAAACTCTATGGAGTTCTTGCTATTATATATGTAGCTTAAGTTTTCCTTCATAAGCTCAATACTAGGTTTATATCATAGCAAACAAACTCTAAAGGGTTGTTTTCGCTATTATACAATTAGCTTAAGTTTCATCATATCTTAAGCAGTATGTTTACATTATAAAGTATTAGCTAACAAACCTCGATGGAGTTTTGTTATTATATATATATAGCTTAAGTTTCATCATAACTTAAGCTCAGTACTATGTTTTTAACATAAAAGTATATTAGTTAATAAACTCTAAGGAGTTTATTTTGCTATATACTTTTAGCTTAAGTCTAATCTTATCTTAAGCTTAGTACTATGGTTACACTATAAACATATTAGCTAATAAACTCTACAGAGTTTTTGGCTATTATATATGTAGCTTAAGTTAATAATATCTTAAGCACAATACTATACTCATATTGTAAAATATATTAGCTAACAAACTCTACGGAGTTTTGCTATTATATATGTAGCTTAAGTTAATTATATCTTAAGCACACTACTATACTCATATTGTAAAATATATTAGCCAAACAAAACCCTACAGAGTTTTGCTATTATATATATGTAGCTTAAGTTAATTATATCTTAAGCTCAGTACTATACTAATATTATAAATATATATTAGCTAACAAACTCTACAGAGTTTGGCTATTATATATGTAGCTTAAGTTAATTATAGCTTAAGCACAGTACTATACTCATATTATAAAAATATATTAGCTAACAAACTCTACAGAGTTTGGCTATTATATATGTAGCTTAAGTTAATTATAGCTTAAGCACAGTACTATACTCATATTATAAAAAAATATATTAGCTAACAAACTCTACAGAGTTTTTGCTATTATATATGTAGCTAAAGCTTATTCATATCTTAAGCTCAGCATTATATCTATATCATATAAGTATATTAACTAACAAACTCTAAAGAGTTTGCTATTATATAATTAGCTTAAGTTTAATCATATCTTAAGCTTAGTACTATGTTATATCTTAAAGTATTTTAGCTAACAAACTCTAAGGAGTTTATACTAGCATATTAACAAGCTTAAGTCTATTAGTCTTAAGCATTGTATTAATGTTATATATACTTTATCATAATAAGTACATGGTAATAACCTTTATATGGCAGCTGATAAGTTAGCAGCAGGAATTCATCAGTTCAGTGCCTTTATGAAGTTCCCATAGGGTTATTACAATCATCACAGTTCAAATCACTAATTATTAAAAATCCAAAGTATTAGATATTCCCACCTCCGTCTGTAGAGAGGATGCTACAAGCAAAAGAGCATGAGTCAGGATAAGGAAAAATATGTAATTTTTGGAGTAAAATTGATATTTTATACTTATCCTGACTCATGAGGTCAGCCCTCCCATCCTCCCCAAATAACACTTTGGATTTCCTGTAAATTCAAAATGTTGGGCTCAGTATATGAGGAGAGAGTGAGGCACATGGGTAGAGGTGGCTCTCGCTCCCCCGCTTGCCAGGAAAGGAGGTAACCTCGTGGTGAATACTAATTAGTGATTTTAAATTGAAGGAGCTTCAATTAGGGAGATACAAGTGTTCCACTATGTTCGCAAGAAGAAGAAGACAAGCAAAAGAGCATGAGTCAGGATAAGTATAAAATATCAATTTTACTCCAAAAATTATATTCTTATTTGAACTTAATGTGAATCAGTCTTTATGGGGCTGTCTCAGTATCCTAGATTTATGAGGAACTTGTAAATATGGATTATTTCCAGATCAAGGAGATTATACGACAAGGCATTGAAGTTCCTGAAGGACAAAATGATCTCAGAAGGCAGCAGCTAAGGGAGTTAGCCCTCCTCAATGGAACGCTGAGGGAGAATGATGGATTGGCGTAAGTAAATGAAAATGGATGAGGGCTATAATAATGAGAGAATGACTTGAAATATTAGGTGTTTAGTCTATTCCAAGCTCATCATGAACAGGACTTTATTTCAATACAATACCTCTCTGCATGGTAATAAGAAGGGATGCCATGATACATGGTTACATGGTTACATCGATACTTTTTCTAAGACGATACATATATTGATACATTCAAAACTGTATCGATATTTAGTTTTGAAAATATTGGTATAAATATGTTTATGTATCATTTACATTTTGTAATTGTATCATATTTTTTAACATATTGAGAGTTATAAATGATTATTTTTCATGCACAAAGATGGGAATTTGAACTTTTTAATCTCTGAGAATAAAAAATGTTGATCTTTTCATGGACAATTATAAAATATGAAAATGTCAATGTTCAAAATGTAACTAAATTTACGCAATAATGCTGCGAAAATAGGTATCGTGATACGTATTGAATCGTGACATGGGTATCGTGATACGTATCGATTCTTGAAACTTATGTATCGTGACACACCTAGTAATCAGACAAGGATCAAGACTTCAAATGTTTTAGCAATCAAACCAGTATATCTGACTTCTGATCACAAAAATGAACTAAGACTACATATTACCAAAAGACAGCAGCACTATTATTTTTGTGTGACTTTCATACTTCATGTTGTTTCTGAGTGCTGTAGCATGTACACTAAAAAGAGATTACCTTCAAAGGAACATTTGTGTTAAGTTAGATTTTCATGAGTCAAAATCAAAATGTCTGAATCAAAGTGGTGAAAAAGTGAAGCTGAATAGTGTTAGAAAGCTGACTATTTACTTGCTCAAGACCTGGGCTTTGGACTGCTGGCTTGTGTCTCTAGGTGACCCATTGAAAATTCATAGAATGAAATTAAACACACATTTAGTTCTAAATCATTAGTAGTATATTAGGAACAACATGGGACATCATTGGAACTACATATCCATGTCATGAAATTCCTAAATTTGAGAGACATCCATATTAAATTATGATTGATGTTCCGATATGATTACACCTGATAATATAATAGCTGATTTCTAAATTTATATCATTTGTATGCTTTTTCCTTTCCACAAGATAATGAAATGACTAATCTTCTGCTTGTATTACAGGAAATTAAAACAGCTACAACAGGCACAGACAATCATCACAAACACAATCATTTGTACAGTGTGTGGGGGCACAGGTCACATTGCACAAGATTGTAAAGAGAAAAAGTAAGTCAGTTTACTGATACTGCTCATGGGTTCTGCTGGGTAGATGGCCTCGAAGCATAAAAGGCCCAATAATATATCAGGAATATGTTGCAGGGATTTCTCAGTGGCTGATTTCAGGAAGGAAGGATAACAATATATGGATGAACAACTTCTTTATTACAGTGAGAGCTGTATTAAAGAAGTTATTTATTCATATATAGTTACCCTTCCTTACTGCTCCAACTTCTAAAATACATCTCAAAGAAGTTAGCTGATCTTCATTCACATGTCTATGCCAAATATCAATGAAAATATCTATATTGAAATTATATAACTTTCCAGATTATGATGATGATCACTAAGGGACTAGTATTTCACTTATTAATGGGCTAATTTAAAGAAACCCTTTTATCCCCCCCCCGGGATATAGTCGACGCCATGTCTGTCGCTCCATCCGTAAATCATTTTGTTTCCGGAGCATAACTAAAAAAAAACGTTCAATATTTTTCAACAAAAAACTTGCGAGTGGTGCCTTTTGCTATTTACAGATTTTTGTCAATTTTATATTTCTTTATTTCAATGGAAACTTGTTGGACTTAGTGTCAAAAGGGTGGGGCTTCGTTTTTACAGCACAACTCGAAAACTGTTCAATATCTTTCACCACAACTTGGCAGATATATCGAACAGAACCTAACGTGGTGCCTTTTGATGTGTACAGATTTTTGTCATTTTCATTTCCAATTTGGACTTAGTCTCAAAAAGGAGGGGTGGGCTTTGTTTATATTTTTCATGATTTCAATGGAAATGATTTGGATTTAGTGTAAAAAAAAAGTTTGTTCTTTCAAATTGTGAGGTCCGGGGGGGGATTTGTCATCTTCTGATGACTCTTGTTTACCTAGTTTTACATTACTATCTGAATATACAAATGAATTTCAAAATATTCATATGAATTTCAGGAACTGAAAAATGTTCAGAAGCTTTCCAGTGTTGAATATATATAATAATGCCATAATTTATGAGCACTTAGTTTGTGATCCTAAGTTCAACTTTCTACATTTGGAGACACATAATAAACATTGCACTTTTACTTTATTTCAACATTGCCTTCTCTTTAATACTGAATCACTATCACCACAATCAACCCAAACCATCTGCTCTTAACATTTGTTTGCGACATGTTATGTTATGTTTATGTAATGTTATGGCATATTTGTAATGAGAACTAAATCAAAACTACCCTCGCAAGAAAAACATGTTATTCCATTACTGGATGCTAATGCATAGTCACTATATGTTTCAGGCCTGGAGATAGTTTCAGAATGCAGCAGACCCCCTATTCAATCACAAGCTGATAAAGCAAAAATGGACAGCGAGGTATGAGAACTGTTTTGCAGAGTTGGTTGGTTTGTTTAAAGCCGCACTCAGCAATATTCCAGCTTGATGGTGGCGGTCTGTAAATAATCAAGTCTGGACCAGACAATCCAGGGCATGAGCATCAATCTACGCAATTGGGATATGATGACAAGATTGTGTCAACAAAGTCAGTGAGCCTGACCACCCGATCCCATTAGTCGCCTCTTATGACAAGCATGGGTTACTGAAGACTAATTCTAATCCAGATTTTCATGGTAGAGACCACTTGAGTTTGCTTGAATTATATTCACTTTATGCATATATTTTGTGTAAATACAAATTTATTACCTTCATTATAAAATATAATTATGTTATAATAATGATGTAGGATGAGTAAGCTGGTTGTCTTGTGGAACCAAAACTGGAAAGAATAACAGGATATATTGTGTGGAAAATGTTCTAGTAGTTTGTGTTGTGTTTCAGTATATGTCTCTGATGGCTGAGTTGGGTGAAGGTCCTCCACCTAAAGTAGAGAGGCCAGCTCATGTTTTCAATCAACCCAGACACTCAAACTTCAATCAACCACCACCAAATCCTATGGTATGTCATATTGACCAAGCTTGTTTCATTTCAGTGCAACAAAGCCATCTGTAAGCTATCCTGCATTTTAGAATTTTGTATGATTTCAGCTTTATTAAATCCTGTCACATTGAAAATAGAAATTATTGACGAACAGTAACATACTGAAATTACTCATTTTGGGATCTTTTATTCAGTCATGTGCAGATAGTATTTCATGATGAATTGTCTGAGAAATGCAGAGACATTTAGATCATCATTTGGACATGTCTTTTCATCTAATTTAATGCAAGTACAGAAATACACAGCAACAATGTAGTTATCTGTGAGCAAAAAATGACAGCAACAGCCATTCCCCGCGAGTTATACCTGACTGTGTTTTACTTGTTATAGAATGTAAAGGTTAATATATAGATAATATAGGTGGTACATGTTTGAACTCTTTCTTCAGGCAATCAATCCTCCGTGGCCTCAGAATGCTAGTAGCAAACCTAGCTTAGGCCCACCCGCCTTCCAAAACCCACAGCAACATCGTGGAGGCGTGCCTCAGGTGAGCAACTCCTCTCAAATGCAACAGCATGGTGTGATGAACACAGGTATACCCCCTGGTGTCCCACCCCCACAACAGTTCACCACAGCTCCTTCGCTAGCACCATGGCAACAGCCCAACAGTTCTGCACAGTCTGGAGTGACAACATCGATGGGTAAGTTGAAACGTTTTAGTAATGCTTATGAGAAACAACTGATTGGAACTCTAGGTTAACTCTGATAATCACAATAACAGCTGAAATGTGTTAATATTTCGATAGCTAACCAACTGTCAGCTGTGACTTTAATGGGATACTTGATGGCTTATTATGCAGCTCCATTCGTCTGTCTGAGATGATGGGGACAGATTGTCTGAAAAACTGTTATAGATAGGGAAACCAAATTTGGTATGTGTTTTCAGTACATGAATGCCTTGATGAAGTCCAAACAAAAAATGTGTTACAACTTGTTACAGAGTTATCGCCCTTGTCATGCGTTTCTTACTTAGTGCACAGCATCCCCAATAGGGACAGATATTCTCAAAAAACGTTATAGGTAGGGTATGTGTTTTCAGGACATGAATGTCATGTTGGAGTTAAAAAGTTGTAAACGTTTTTTGCCTATGTTTTTTTTATCTGCAATGTAGTCTCTCATAACTCCATGGTGGGTGGCTCGATATATTTTACTTGTATATTTTATGAATGTGTATAATTGGTGTTGATACGTATCGAAGTGAGACTTAAATGAAAAATCTGTCTGGCCCTGTGATCTTCTCTTTGCTGACATAACAGTAATCCTCTCAGTAGTCATTTAACAGCTGATGTATCGCTATTTGTAGGATGAATGAATATTTGATAAAATAGGAACAGAACACTGTGACAGGGGATATTGATGACCATGTCTTCTTGTTGGTGGCATATGTCTTATGGACAAGATCCCTCAACACAATACATTATACTTGTAAGGAATCCTTCAGCTTCTAAGATCAACTGATTGTAGGTTCAAATCCACTATTTGCCATGACTATGGTCCTTTGCCAGAATTGTAGGGTGCATGTTTTGTTTGCATTTATTTTGTTCACATAAGTGGTTATATATTTTTTTTCAGGCGTTCCCCCTTCCCCTCCTTCACTGCTGAATCAACCGCCACCACCTCCACCGAACAACCAGCATACCTCCACACCCTGGCTGCAGTACTCACAAGGTTTGCCCTTACAATGTCTTTAGTTTTCCAAGTAGGAGTAATATCATGCATCATTTTTCATGTGATAGATTTGCTGAAATTTGTATCTGATGAAGATGACATATTTTTGCCTTTCCAAACATTAATGTAGTTGAAATCTACTTTTTGATTGAAAACAATTCTTCTACCAGTTCGGTTTTCTTGTAACATAATATTTTGGTATGTTCAGCAGGCCCAGTTCCGCCACCACCACCATCTACAACAGCTCACTGGCAGACACAAACAACAGCACCACCTCCACCATCGAATTTGCCGCCATGGCAGCAACAGGCTCCTCCCCCTCCTGTCCAACCCCCAATGCCCAGTGGTGTAGCTCCACCACCACCACCAGTTAGTCAGAGTTACAACCCTGTACCTCCTCCTCCACCCCCACCTGGTGGCTTTGATGTCAATCAACTTGGTGGTGTCAACCCCATGCTGGTACCACCACCGCCACCACCACCCCCTTCATCTTAAGGCTTTCACAATTAATGGAATCACTGGAAGTGAAATATGCTGCATCCCGGTAGGTTTTCAAGTAGATCCTATAACAAATTCATCGTTTTAAAAATACGATGTAAATAATCCAGACTTGATTGTTAAGAGGTACTGTACATCCCACAGTTAAGGCTGCTTACAGTAGAGAAAAAGAACAATCTTTTGTGGTCTGTTGAAGAGAATATCTGAATCTTCTCTCAGTGCAATGCTTTCGAAGAAGGAATATAAGTGATTGTTAAAGCCATTAGTTTTTTGCAACATGTTGGAAGATGGGTTTATGTCCCTTATTGTATAGTTGTTTGTGTTCTTTGTACATACATACTCCTTCGATGATCAGGAAATGCTAGTCCCAGTTTGCATTGTAGAAATGTGATCAATTGTAGGTAATGAATTTTTTTCCACCAAGTGCTGTTGACATTGCTTCTAATAATTCCACATCACTTTTGTGCCAGGTTTGCATTTCATAACATTCTCATCCCTGTAGTGGATATGGATTAGACTTGTCCACCATGTGAATAGCTATACCCAAATGTAAATATTTCATTTCATTCAGTTAATTGTGTAGAAATAACTTCATTTTGATCACATTTTTATTTTCATTAATTTAGCACTACTTTCCAATGTATTGCTATAATAGTACTTCCATGAATTTGTACAAATAAATGAAGAAATAAAAACTAAATCAATGAAATGGTATGGTTTATTGTCAATTTGTGAACTATAGTTGTCACTAACAACATCCTTCAGCTGCAAGCAAAGAGGCTTAAATGTTAAGTTGCATTTTCAGTTTGCTTTCAAAGTCTAATCATAGCAATCTGTTGATGGAAATGTGTCTGCAAGATAACTTGAAGGAAAAGGCCTCTGTACAGTTATACATCGAGTTGGTTCATTTTTGTTAAATGAACTGAAATGTTCCTGTGCATCCAAAGCAAAGTTTTCACGAAGTCTGTGATTCATTGGATTTTCACCAGTCTTCCTCCATTAGGTCCCACAAATAGTTCACTGTGAAGGAATCCGACACCTGGTTCCTGTCAAATGAAAACGGACGCACACTGTTTTTGTCACACATATCTGGTCAGCTATTAAGGAAAATTGCAGCTTCTCCCACATTGCTGTAACATTGGAGCTTATACGAAACATAGAACAAAGGCAATTCCTCGTGTACATGCCTTGTATCATTTCATTAACAAATGGAGGAAAGTTGAAAAGAAATCAGCCCCAGATGACTGTCACCAAGATCCAAATAACGCTGTGGTTGCACATGTCTTGGGTTTGTATGATAAAAGGAGGAATGTATCATACAGTGGATTATCAAGGGTTGATCCCACAAACCAGTGACTGTTGCAAACATCAATCCATGCAATACAGTACAATATATACCCAGTATCAGCCAACCAAAATGTGACCGCCAAATTTCAGACTCCGAGATACTAAGACATTGCAAATATATTCTACAGGCGAACATCCATATTTACTGGAGCCTCTGTGGTTATGTCCACCCCTACTTAATAAAGTTCCTGGACCTGTTTCTGAGTGCGATGCTCAAAGTGAAAGCCCTTTATGTCATACCTTTCATCCCAAGATTGCTCTGCAGAATAATCTTGATGCAGAATGAAAGAAGAAATGTGTATGTTTAAGACACACCTTTACATAAAAGTAATTTCACATAGAAGGATACATCCAATGACTTCATTGGGTTGACAATCATATCGCCAACGGATGTTTGTAATGTGGCTGTATAAGTTCACATCATATCTGAAAGCAAAAACATTTTTTCATCAAATAAGAATATACAATGCATCAATCTATATGCTTTGAAAAAGAGAAGAGCTGCTCATCCTAGTTAAAACATGGTTATGTTGTCACTTTTATATGGGAATGACATGATTATGTGAATCAGTCGTCACTCCTACACATCCTACACATGAGGCAACACAAGAGTAACTCAGCTCTACAGTTTCATGTTACATGTACTGTAGCCTTACACCCCTGGCAGTCATCGAGGAGTAGAAAAACAAAACTATTCTGGAAGCTGTCTTTGTTAACAACAAAAATTAGGATTAGGTGAGACATATTGATTTGACAGTATGGGCTTTTTATGTCTGATGGCAAAATCAACTTATTTCCACTTGTACTTGCAAAACACAAACAACTCATCCCAGCAAACAAAGCAGAAAAAGTACATTGTTTTGGTTAAGAATTTGTGATTGCCACATATTTGTGAAAAGAATTCCATGATTTTTCAAGACAAATACACAATGTATTGCTTTTTCCAGATACCTTTAAACATATATATTACTCTGTCAGAAATCTAACACCCGTGAAGGTCCGGGTTAGAATATTGATCTTCAGTAACCCATGCTTGCCGTAAGAGGCAACTAACGGGATCGGGTGGTCAGACTCACTGAATTGGTTCCCAATTACGCAGATCGATACTCCTGCTGTTGATCACTGGATTGTCTGGTCCAGACTTGATTATTTACAGACCGCCACCATATAGCTGGAATATTGCTGAGTGCGGCATAAAACAAAACTCACTCACTCACTCACTCAGAAATAAAACAATATCTTTAATACAGCCTCCCGGGAATCTCCCCTTACAACTGTCCATCTAATATTGACTATATCTTATTGTTTAGAATTATAGTACCACATGTATTTAAGCAACAATTCACATATGTGCATACTAATCCTGATACACATGTTGATGGCTGCCATCGCCATTGTTAAGATATACAATTTTGTTTAAATAAAATCAAAAGAAGAGATAATTCCGTGATTATATCCAATTTTATTTTCAAATTTCATGATTTAAGGATATCAAAAGGATATCCTGCACCTAAAACAATGAAACTTACATACATTCAGATTATTTACAAAGTCTTTTTTGTATTTGTTTTGGTGTCATTTTCAAAGATGCAAGATGACTTTTGGCAAGATTTGTTTTACCTCACAGATTGCATGTATTCTATGTTAAATGAAATCAGTATCTCTACTAATATTTAACCAACTAGTATAGTGTCTGAAGGCTTTTTACTTGTCCTTGAGACTTTTATTACCCCTGGGATAGCATGGTGTGGACACACATACCTTGCTTTAGGAAGAGAGATGTTGGTTTCATCCTTGATGCGGTCTCTCTCAGCCTTCAGCTGCTGCCGTTGCTGCTGCAGCTGTTCTAGATTGGCATTTTTGGCTTCGCACTCATGTTCTGTTTCCTCCTTGGTTGTCTTGGTGTTCTGGATCTGCTGCTTCAGCTTCCTCTCCTCTACCATGTGTTCCCCAGCGTCCTGCTCGCCAGCTCCGGGGTTCTTCTGTAGCTCTTCCTCCTTCAGTCCTATCAGTTCTGGAGTTATAGGATGGGAACAAGTGAGACGAGCACTATACTCCAATGTTCTTGGTTATACGACAGTACAAATCGGAGCCGAGAAGATCCAGAGAGGAATTGGTCTTCAGCAACCCATACTTGTCGTAAGGAGCCAACCCAAAGGATCAGGTTATCTGACTTGCTGACTTGGTTGATGCAATGTATCCCAATTGTTAGAACAGTGCTCATGATGTCAATCACTTGATTGTTTACAGACCATTATTATAAAGCTGGAACACTGTTAAGTGTCGTATTGTATGAGTCACTTTTCAAAACACGTACCCTCAATTTTACAGTTTATAATGGTAAATAACTTGAACCCATAGATGTATTTTTTTCAGTAATGTTACAATTGTCTTTGTCTTGTATGTAACCTAACACAATGAGAATAAAACATAAGATGACTGTTACTAGTATTAGTCAAGTTATTGGAATCGGACAATTCTATAGTATAGAATAGGGTATTTATCACAATAGAACTCAGTGGATATACTCCACAGGATGTGTTAATGAGGACAATAAAACTGAAACTTACAGGGTGTATGGGGAAACAGAAATGTTCCCATTCCTTCACTCATGGGAAATCGGTTTTTGCTCCATGTAGATCAAGCGTAGGAGATGCATTCAGAGATGCCAACACTATTTTGGGCCCAAGTGTAATACTAGAGGTCAAAAAGTGTAATTTGGACCTAAAAAGTGTAATACTTGTCTGCCGATTGGCTTCAACATGGTACACGATTTCACGAAAGGAAGATTCTAGACAGAAACACATGTGACCAATCATTATGAAGCTCCATACATTGAAAATTGTTGGTCATATGACTCAAAATACTTTAATTCCTTGCAAGTTTATTGGAATGAGTGCGATGCTAAGAGTAAGCGATTCCTATCAATGCAAGGCCATTTTGCACCCCTGCACCTGTGCGTTACGAAACACCCCCCCTTTGAAATTTTACCCACTTAATTGATTTTCGTAAAACGAGTAGAAAAGTGTAATTTTCGCAGTGTAATGGTGTAATATACTAGTTAAAATCGTATTAATTACGCCTAAAGCGTAAGGGTTGGCATCTCTGTGCATTGAATATGTAAATATTACCTGTATCTGCACGTGAACAAGACGTACATTAAGTGTTATGAGTGTTATATCAGTGATAATGTTTTAGTATCGCTTAACATGACCAGTACCATGATCATGGGCTATTGTTATTAGGATAATGATATTACCTATACATTCTACAAAACTTGGAATAGTGTGGGGCAACACATTCATGTACCATAAATCATGACTTCCATGGATACAATGTGTGAAGACCATTCTTGATGTTCCAGCAATTACGTTGTTAAATGTCTAAAGAAACATACTTACCAACAACATGACTATTGTTTAGACTGAGCTTGATAATTACCTTCAATGGCTGTTTGTATGTGCTTGTGTTGTTTCTGTCGCTGTTGTTGTATGTCCGTCCACATCTCCTTCATGTCATCAATCATTTTCTTGTCTTCATTATCCTTGTCCAGGTACACAATCAATTCTCCCGCGAAACCTGTTATCACCTCGTATGACGTCATAGTGATGGAATTAACTCACCACTGAAACAAGGTATTAAAGAGTAACTTATCTATTACTAGTATTTTAAACATTACTGCAAATATCACCAGTCAACTGGTGGGTTTCTCTATATCTGCTAACAAGCCCTGCTGAAGCTGCTCAAAAACATACATATATTTCATAGTCATTGTTTATCCATACATGAAGATTTGGATTAGAATTGATCTTCAGCAATCCATGCTTGCCATAAGTGGCAACAAACCGATGGGTGGTAAGTCACGCTGTCTTGGTTGATGCATGCCATCCATTTTACAACTTCATAGATCGATGTTCATGATGTCAATCACTGGATTGTCTGGTCCAGACTTGATTATTTAGAGACTGCCGTAACATAGCTGGAATATTGCTAAGTGCGGCATTAAACAGCAATCCACCACTGTGGTTCTCGCTTATTGGACTGGAAGTCTTCATATCAACAAGAAAATGACACTTCATTATCAACACATGGATTAATAAAACATTTCAGACAGGATTTTGTATTGCACAGTAAAGATTAAGACATGTTTTTTGGTAAAAAAAAATTCAAGCATTGAATCAGTATCAGCAACATGTTTATGTTGTTCGGCAATGTTTAATGATGTGTGTATCTATTTTACTCACCTATGTATTGATACACTTCAACAGATACAAACATAAACATCAATCAATAAACCACAGCCCTACCTACCACCCATCAGTATTATTCGCTGGATATTATTACGTAAATGATCATAAAGCATAACTAACAACTTGTTATATGAACTGGATTGTTCATTCCACATGATATGGACCATGAAATCACAATAAACAATTATGCTTCAGGAGATAAATATTATAGGACACTAAAGGGCACCAGATGGCATATTTGTGCATTGTTCAGAACCTGCTTGTTTTTTTTGTATGGGAGATGAGATATTTACTGCAAATATGTGGTTGCATGAGGGGAAGCAACTCTTCAAGTTTTAAAGTGTTGAAATACATGGATTTGGCTTTCCTTTGAATCTAAATTAGCCGAGTACCAAGTAAAATATCGACTGGATTGAATTGCTGTGACGCCAATCGGAGGATCAAAGAATCAAATGATAAGCTGTAAATCATGCAAAGAATACACAATAAAGAGGCAAAGCCATACTAACGTGTTTCTGTCATTGATTAATGCTTACTGGACTTAAAAGGGTGAAGCTATCAGTGAACATCATATTATGAACATTAAAGGGGCACTGATCCAGAGCAATTTCTTTGCACTGGTTGTTGCTTTTGTTACTGTTTTTCTCCCGTGAGTACCTGGATGATATCCCAGAATTCATGACTGGTTCATTACCTGTGCTGCGCCACCCTAATGTGCAATTGATAGTATAAGTATAGACTGATCAACAAAGATGAAACCTTTTTTTTCACTCGATAATATTTCCATCTTCATTATTTTGATAACAAATTTTGAAGTTTAACCATCTGCCAGTGGTAAAAAATGTTAGGATTGAAATAACAAAGTCAATGTAAGTCTTTATGTTTTGTCTTATAATCCTAATTAGTTTATTATCATATTTATTTCTGTTGAATGCTATAGGAAATGAATAAAGACAAAATGCAAATATTAAAATTAAAACAGACTAAAGTTATAGCAACAATATCAGGCTATTACCTTGTTCGGGGGAATGTATCCATCAATATCCACATAAAAGAATGAGATGCCATTCATCTGCAGCTGACAAAGAATCCTGTTCCATGTCATGTGTCTTTTAACAGTCTGATATGCGGAAAGGGGATCTATCGTTTTCAGGTTTTTCACATTGGTAGATAGTCCCATTGGTCAGCCAAGACAGCACACCTGGCAACTAACTGCATGATGTCCACCGTACTTTAAAAAGTAATTTAGTTAGCCAATAATGAACAATCTATCAATGTATTGGTGGTTAATCCTTTGAAGGAAGGGTGTTGTTTTTACAGACACCTTACACTAATCTACATACATAAACACTACCTTTTGACAAATCCACTGTGCAAGATAAAAGCAATTAATCGATCAGCGTGTTATCAGTTACTCCTTTGATCGATGTTTGTTTTGTAACTCAGCTGATAATTCCTCTTGCTGAATTTCCATGTGCATATTACATAAGATGTAATACATTTGCCACATCAGACCTCAATTTATAATTATGAGTATTTACTTCAGACACAAGAAATGCCAAATGGGAACCTTTGTCGGTTAATCTGAGTGGTGTTTTCACTAATTATACCTGTTATAAATTCATTAACTGACCATTAAGTGAATGATGACAAATAACATGTGTAGGTTTACCACCAAACAAGGGTTACAGCAAGAGAGTAGTAATCGCTGTATTGCATTAAAGTGCCTGAAAAAGAACTTATTGGCCGAAACTGTTTTGAGGATACGAACGGAACTTCATTGTTGCATAAGACATACTTATAAGCATTTGCTGTGTACTTAGTTAAAAACTGTATATATACCTAAGTGAAATTTTAGATTTAGATTAGTGGGGTTGTTTAGTGTACGGATTCAAATATATCAAACGTGTGTTTTTTGATATCATAGTATAGGTAATAGACAACATATTTGTACATGATTAAATATCAAGGTAAAAAACACAGAAATAGGATCAAATTGGATAAATCACTATACCATCCAAGCATTTGAAAATCTGAAAAAGCCTACACTGCTAGGATTCTTTATTACAATCAGACAAGAACTACTGGGGATATTTTCAAATAACAACATCTGATGGGCATTCACCCTTCCTAATGTGAAGGTCCGGGTGGGAATGTTGATCATCAGTAACCCATGCTTGTCGTAAGAGGTGACTAACAGCATCGGGTGGTCAGGCTCACTGACTTGGTTGACACATGTCATCGGTTCTCAATTGCGCAGATCGATGCTCATGTTGTTGATCACTGGATTGTCAGGTCCAGAATCGATTATTTACAGACCGCCGCCATATAGCTGGAATATTGCTGAGTGCGGGGTAAAACTAAACTCACTCACTCACCTAATGTCTTACTATTTAGGTTGAAGAAATTCTGGCAAGGTGGACAGTAGCACAGTCCCCGGTTGAGGGAGCAGGGGCTGACCAGTTTGCAGCTAGGTTTGTTAATTAGACTGTTGGATGCAAACATTAATCACTCTGGATCAGTGTCCCTTTAAGAAAACTACACAGCATCCCTTCAGAGATTTATAGTTACTAACATTTAGTAGCAAATTTGGTCAGTGAAAATGTGACATTTATGAATTATCAATAGACATGATGGTTTACCATTTAAAATAACCGTTTCATCTGATCATTGCACCCAATTTCTTTGAATGCATATTACAGGGTATTGCTTAACCAAATTTGATGAGTGAAAATGTGTGTACAGCTGATTGCTATGAGTGTATGAGATTATAAGCACATGTGTATTTATATCTGAGCATCAATCAGTGCCATGCAGAATGGAAAGTACATTTTATTGAAACAATACATTCCAAGCCATTTGAGTTGCCGCTATTACTGTATTTATAAAGATAATGACAGCACTGGGACAGTTGGTTACAACTGGCAGATTATTTATAGGTATGGAACAGTTTAATCACCCACAGCTGAAGCCTGCCATGGTACTAGCTACAGCATTTGAAGAACAAAATAGCAAATATCATACAAACGGCAGACAAATATATATGTAATATCAGGCCTTGTTTGAGGAATATATCCGCTCATATCCAAAAAGAACAATATCCAATACATCTGAAACAGTACAAAGAAACTGGCTAGAAATCACATCTTTGTATGAATCTAATATTTCAAAATATCAAAAGTGTCATGGGATATTATGAGTTGTGTTTATCTTCCAAACTTATCCCAATTCAATTTAGTTTGACAATAATGAACAATTAACCAACATATTACCGGCTGATGCTGTGTTGTTTTTACTAGTCTGCCAAGATATGGGTGCATTCTGTCTGCTATAGTAAATCTACAATTCTAAACACATTTGACAAACCCCCCTGTGCAAGGTATCAGTAATTAATCAGTTAATGTATTAACAGTTAAATACTTTGATAGAAGTTTTTTCACTTGCTGCGCTGAAATGTGTTTTGAGTACATCAATTGAATGTCATTGTAGCATTGTAGCAAAAAATGATACATACACATAATTCCTGTACATTAAATGACATACAATATAGAACAAACTTTATGGATAACTGTTTTAACAACTTCTTTTATTCGTGGGTGTGACGTTTCAATACTGTATCGAAATGTCGCACTCACGAATAAAAGAAGTTGTTATCCATAAAGTTTGTTCTATATTGTACTTCCCAACTTCTAAAAAAAACCCAAGAAATTAAAGGACATAATTGTACATACACATTTACAGCCACATACACATTTACAGCCACATACACATTTTTGGGAGGTGAAAGGTTCTACTAAGCATCTGCAATGATTCATGTGGGTTCTCCCTTGCTGGTCCGAAACACAGTTTGTTGAGTTGGTGATGATAATTGGCATTTGGTGATTATACTACATAATTAAAATGGTGCCAGCTAGATGACTCAGAGTTGGACTGTTGTTTCCTTATAAAATCATAAATAAATGATAAAAGGGTCTGTATAACCCCTGAACCTACTCAGCTCAGCTTGCTCCACAAGTAGTTTCTAATCCAGTAACCATGCTGCATATGCTGCAGTAACCATGCTGCATCATGAACTGGAGTCTCATGTTTGTAAACTAATGCACATAATCCGAAATAAGAACAGGTGGGTCTAATGTAAGTCTTTCAATGTACTTTCATAACTATATAGATAAGCCAGTACAACTGCAACAGTTAAATGCATAACAGCATAGGTTTACACAGATAAACATGTATATATAATGTAGTGCTTTGATGAAGCACATGCAGCCAAACACCATCCTATGGGTAAATATGGTAATGGTAAGAATTTGTCTCTCAGTGAATGTTAAACAGATGATAAACACATGCAATATCTTCAATGGACTGTGTAAGATGTGATAATTTGGCAGAGGAATAAGGCTGGCAGCAAGGAGCTCTGGATGGGAGAGTGTTATGAAACATGATTGGATTCCTACAACAGAGTCGTTTTACAGTAATCAAGATTTTGTTAGACACTGGTTTCTAATACATTGAAATTGACAACTGGTAAATTGTACTCATACATAACATAATATAACACAAGCTGAAATGAGGGAGTGAATGAGTACGGCTTTAGGACACTTTGAGCAATATTCTAGTAATATTACAGTGAAGGACACCAGATATGGACTTCACACATTCTACCCATGTGGGGAATCGAACCCGAGTCTTCTATGTGACAAGCAAATGCTTTAACCACTAGGCTACACTACCACCCCAGCTTCAAATAAAAACATGATCAAAGTTTGTTATTCTATGCAAAGTTTGAAGTGTTGGCTTTGCTGTGAGCCCTCTTCGGTTTGAGAATAGCATTTTGCATGAACTTGAGATGTGATGTGCCAATCTGAAATTATTTCATACATAATTTATAAACAACCTGAAAAGCTATCTAAATATAAAACTTTACACTATCAGATTCACACGAAAACAATGGCTTGCTACACGCCTGCCAACAAAACCACATAAAGGTATAGTATGAAGATGGCGTGCCGCCTTGCCAGGTTTTACCCATTTTGACAAACTTGTTTTGATCGAAAACTGGACAAATAAGGCGTACTGCAAACATAATGTTCATACATGTAAATTTACATCCACATGGCATATATCATATTTATGATCTGACTCTGCATGTGATTCACACAACAGAATCAGAGCTTGTTCGTTCGTTGTGCGATTTTAAGGAACACAAATTTTGCTAAATAACTTACACCAATTTACTTGAATATTGCCGCCATAGCCTGCAAGCACCTCTCACATATGTCTATTGGTCGGAGACATGTAAAAGGAACCAATGGGTGGAAATCTTCTAAAGTTTTGCAAAAGCTTAATACACACTTTCTCGTTGGCTAAATATGGAAGCAACGAACCAATGAATGAGCCCTTAACAGTAAATGTGGTTTGTGTATAGTAAGCTGGGTCCCGTCTCTCATATCATGTCGCATTAATGAGGAAAGTTGACACGCGCAAATGGAGCCGGGAACCTGCTTAACTGTACAGCTGTCCTGACCAGCTCTCCACAGCAATACTTATATGCCAATGCAGTTACTTATCTGTGATTGTGTGGCAAATGTAGCACGCGTAGCTTGTGAGTGTTTTCTGGGGTTGGGAGGTTACGATAGTAGGGGAAGCTGTCCTTATGCGACGATCTCAGGGAACGAAAGGTTAATTTCACAATCAATTTGGAAAGTAACTTATTACAAAGGCAAAAATGGAAGGACTTGAAACCAGGTAAGTGTGAACGTTATAACTTTATGTCAATATAAATTATTTATCAGGGTTAGGTATTAGATGTCTATGTTTCTGATGATTCTAATTTATGACCTTTAACAAACTTATCTTTAATGGAATGTACACATTTACACAAACATAGATTCCCACCATGTGAATGAAAAAGTTACGATATGATTTGTTGTTAGCTAAAAACAGATTCAGCAAGGTTTTGCAAAAAGATGCAGGGATATGGTCTTGTCGAAAATTGACAGACATACAAAACCATCAGTTCTCATATGACACGTACAAATAAGAACTGAGAACTGATAGTTTTGAATGTCTGTCGTTTTTTGCCATATTCTGTGTGATAACCAGCACTAAATGTCATAAAACCCGTACAAAATGGAGAAAATATTTTAAAAATTTCTGACATTTTATGCCATCTAAATATATTACAAGTGACAGTACCTTGTTAGGCTGATCCATATACTGAATTTAAAGAATTAAATGCCTCTTATTTCACATAGAATAGATGACAAATCTGTAATAGTGATCCTAAAGTGCAAGTTTACACAAAAATGAACTTGTTTGTTTTCCACTTTTTCATTTTTCATCATAAAACGTGTTTGTCAAGTAGTTTTATAACCAAAGCAGTACAGATATTAGATTCACATTACATTACATTTACCGAGAGTTCTATTTCCAAAAAAAACACCATGGCTTATGTCCCATGCAATATGACGTCATTGTTGCCTAACAGCATCAAACGAAGGATGTTGTTAGACCTTATTAGACCAGTTCACATGGTGCAGATATAGGTTTGGTTCTTGTGTCTCGATTTGCAGGCCACTGTTTTAATCCATTTATTGCCTGGCTGTCAGCTGGCTATGTGGTCAGTTCCACACTGTGATGATGTTGCGGTTTGAAAATGTATACATTGTACTGGAAGTGTTACCCTGCTCTTCAACCTTCAGTTTGAAGTCGAAAACCATATCCAAATCACAGGGGCTTGTAACTCTAAAAACTGCCATCAAGGTATATACTGTAACTGACGGGGTGGGGTCTTAGTACTATATAAAAGGAAAGGGATGTAACGAGGTTAACAGACCAAGTTCGTTTCAGGGCGAATCCAACAATGCTCACTGTATTTATCCCATTTAAAGTATGCACAAATTTCAAGCCAATAGATTTACCTACAAAATGAGACAAACAGCACAGAAATCTAGGCAGTACTTTGGGAGCCAGGGTCTTCGGAAGCTCGAAAAAATTTGATTTCTCGATTCCGAGCCAAAATCCCCGCTCAGAATTTGTAAGTGTAAGATGGAAGATGTAAGTGTCTCCGAAAGAATGGTGACTAGCGTGCTGACAGGCGCCATCAGTTCAACATGTTTTGGTGAATGTCGTATGTGTATACTGTGAAATAAACAAGAAAATGGGTGAGTTACCGCTACAAATTCTGAGCGGGGATTTTGGCTCGGAATCAAGAAATCATGATTTTCGAGCTTCCGAAGACCCTAGCTCCCAAAGTACTGCTTCGATTTTTGTGCTGTATGTCTCATTTTGTAGGTAAATCTATTGGCTTGAAATGTGTTCATACTTTAAATGGGGTAAATACAGTGAGCATTGTTGAATTTTCCCCGAAACAAACTTGGTGTGTTGACCTAGTTACATCTCTTTCCTTTTATATAGTACTAAGACCCCGTCAGTGACAGAATATACCTTGATGGCAGTTTTTAGCGTTACAAGCCCCTGTGATCAAATACATCACGAACATGAATGCACTTTGCAGTTCTGAATTCTGAAATTCGCATTTAAAATTCGCTTTTCTATGATATCATCTGCTCATTACTGAAAATTACATTCATTGTAAATCTCGCCAGTTTTGACACATTACTGAATCAACATTCACAGCATTTTGCGTAAGGTATAGTATGTTTTAATTTAAATGTCGCATTTTACTGGGCGATTGAATTTTAAAAAAAAATGTATCAGTGTGATCACCAGTATTTTTGTCGTAGTTTGATCGAATCACCAATGGTCTTTCTGAAATATTATCGCTGAACCGAGAATCGCTGAGAATATTTTGGAAAATACGCAAACACGAACGTCGAAGTGAACTTTCAGTTATATTGCAGATTGTTGATATAGTCATGTCACACATATGTCAGTTATCTTTCGCCTATTACATCACAACTATAATTCAAAACCAGCTTCCTTACACAAATCCCTGAATTCCTCATGGTCATACAGTTCAAAATAATATGACAAATAGTCTTTGTCACCAAGACCAAGTGTCTCAGTGAAATCAAGCGAAATAAGTCAGATGTCAAAGCCAGTCTCAGATTTTACACTGTGTATCATGCTGTGAGATCTGTTCTCTTACTCGTTGCATACACTTGCTCATAAGTTTAAAAACATGCATGGGAAGAATATCATAGCAAGAGATAGGGAAATAAAAATAGGTGTATTCCAATGATTTCCTAGATTCAACATAATATATTACAGTTTCCATAATCATGACACCATGACTGATGCAAAATCACATACTTTGCCTCATTTGTGACATATCCCTTGGTCACAATGAAAACAAAAAGAAAATAACAACACACAGAATGTCAGAATGTTTCGGACTACTTACATGCCGCATTTATGCATATACGTTGCTTGACACAACGGGTGCGGTGAGGTAGCCTAGTGGTCAAAGTGTTCGCACATCATGCCGGGCCCCCACATGGGTACAATGTGTGAAGCCATTTCTGGTGTTCCCAGCCGTGATACTGCTAAAAGCGGCGTACAACTAAACTCACTCACTCACTCACTCACTTGACACAACTGAAGTTTCCTTCCTGATATACCATGAACTCGTGTAGATGAACACGCCAATTTCTGAAAGTCGCTTGCCAATAGGGATGTCATACGTACCTTATCATTGTTAATAATGTCATACATACTTGGTATTTTCATTGCGGTGAGGTTTTTGAATGAAAATACATGCAATCAATCTATCCTGCTGCTTACATTTTCAGTTTTAATTCATCTCCGTATTTTTACGTACATTTTTTACATGATTAATTTCAGTATTAATATCTCTTGCTTTGGGGTTAGACAGGAGACCAGTCTAAATCAAGTGACACCAATTACGTCATAATCACAGGGGGTAACTCTGGCCTGTTTAGCTCGGCAAACAAACGCTTCATGATGCTTAACATTTCAGTACTTTTATTGAGGGTTATGTTTTCATTGTAAGAAAAATGAGTATATATTTTCAAGCATTGATATTAATTTATTCAAAAATTCCATTTTGTTTCATATAAGAATAAACAGGATTTTTTCGTGTACACTACCCCTTTAAATATTTTCTTAGTTACCAAATTATATAAATGTAAATTGTGAAAATGACAACACTAGCATCAGCAATATTACTTCTAGCACTGTTATAGGACAATGTATCCATTCCAATTCATCATATGTGTCATTTTACTGCTAACATGTTTACCAATTATTGCTTATTAAAATTTCATGCAACACTACCTGGCAAGTAGTATGCACGTGTACAACAGATGGAAGAAAATGTTAATTAAGAGACTGACTTTATATTACAGATTGGAAATATATTTTTGTACTAATTAAGTAATATGATATAATGCAATTACTAGAATTGTTGCACATGTGCTAAAACATTCCAGCATCAACAAAAAAGGGTTTGAACAATATTATATTACAGTAGACAGCTGTCATAAATGTTATGTAGTATGGTTGTTTTTTATTTGGAAATCAGTCACACCTAAAGCTGTCAGTGTTAGGAGAATATATTATACAGCTAATAATACCTAAACAGCCAGAAGCTTCAAAACGTCAGGAATATTAGTAATCCAGATACCTTGTTTCAGGACATTTAATTGCATACATTAATAATTAAAATAAACATTGTGCTATAACCAGAATATATTTTTAGTCACTGCTTCACAAACATATGTTCAGTGAAAGGAAAAGGTAAACAAGTTTTCATTTTTTGTTATAATTTGTTAAGACGTGCAGCATGGTCAGATGTCAGTGTACTTCAGGCAGTAAAACATAATGACAACTTATTATTTTTCAAATTTCTCTAGAAACACTGTTGTTGTTTTGTACATCTGGGACTAGATATTGAGTAGCCTAGGAGGGATGTTGTAAAGCAATGCAAGCACACTGAATTGGTCAACCATGAATTTTTGGTAGTTTTATAATAACATGTAAACCTCATGTATACCGTATATGACCGTCTATAAGATGACCCCATGGATAAGACGACCCCCAAACTTGACCCTTAAAATCAGTGTCAAAATGGTATGTTTCGTGCATAAGTCGATCCACCGCGATGGGGTCCTAATCGCGGCAAACACAGACCACAGACAACTGGCAGTTACCAATAATTATAACTTTGTTCCACATTATTCAAAGAATTCACTGTCATATATATTGTGTCTACTCACGGATCGAAACGAAGTGTAGTTGACAGAAAATGCATAATATAGCTTCTCTAAATATCATATTTGTTGTAGCAACAAACTGGCTTGCTTATTTTACCCCATTCAACAATCACGAACTGATTACCGCCTCGTTTTCCATTGACTGCTAGTTTACACTGGACAGTAACATCGGTAAAAATGTGTGAATTTAAATGGCTTCCGTATTTTACCCCATTCCATGTGCTTACCACGTTCATGAGGGTCTGTATAACCTTAGTGTTGATTATATATATTTTACATAAAAACTATTACACAATGCTAGGATATATTTCTTTGGGTTAAATAATAGTATTCTGTATTATATTTACTGACGACTGCATCAGAATTCATCCCGTTATATTATTGTGCATGTTTGAACTTGTTCGCCGGGAAACGTGTGCACAGCTGATTGCTATTTCCGGCTTTGTGTACGAGACAAATACGCACGGTAATCTTAATTAATTTATAGAGCAAAAACTGTAACTAAAATTACACAATGCTAGGATATATTTCTTTGGGTTAAATAATGGTATTCTGTATTATATTTTACTGATGACTGCGTCAGAATTAGATCCCGTTATATTATTGTGCATGTTTGAACTTGTTCGCCGGGAAACGTGTGCACAGCTGATTGCTATTTCCGGTTTTGTGTACGAGACAAATATGCACGATAATCTTAATCCCTGCAAATAATACAATGCCCAGCATAAACAACTTATAACTTAAAAGGTAAATAATCTTGTCTAGTGATGTTTAATTGCAAATTTGACGTCTCTACTGACAAAGTCGTCTTCTGTTGTTTGTTCACGCGAAGTGATACGATGTTGTTTTCTTACCCCTGGAAAAAAGTTTGACGAAAGCGTAACCCATGGATAAGACAACCCCCTTCTACAGACTGCTTTTTTTTGGTCCTCAAAATTCAGCTTATAGACGGTCATATACGGTAGTTAGCGTGTTTACATGCTATGAATCACAATGGAGACAATTGACGATAATGTACAGGGAAAAGGTATTATTGATCAGAGTGTATTTTCCTTATACATTGTCACGTATTCTTGATTGAGGCAATATAAGAAATATATTTGGTGTTATGTTTGGAAAAGCAGATTTCAGTTATAATCAAGCATGTTACCCCGCTATTAGTCTCTCGTACAGACCCTGAAGCAAACATATCCAAGAAAGCCCACACAAGTCTAGAAAATGTGGCAAGTCTAGATTTCCAAGTCTCAGGGCTCCTTTTCATTATATATTTTTTTTTTTTACTATGAACTTTTTTCCGTAAAATATGTTCATTTCAGAGCCTAGTTGTTAGTCTACCCCGCTATTTGCATAATCAGTATGCACATTTGTTGCCCAGTGTCTACTGCTTTTTTTACTAGTACAGTTTTTTTTCTCTTTTGATAGAAATAGCATCCCTCACCACTTGACAGTACTGCATTTGTACAACCTTCTTACACTAACCCTGAATATACCTGTTTGTCAGGTTCTACATCTCATTGCTTACATATATATATATATATAGTATTGTTTGCTGCAGCTTAAAACCAGCTTCATGATAATCAGTTTCATGGAACAGGTGATATGTATTAGGTTTTTATGTTGATTGCAGTGTTCACGAATGGTGTTTCAAGGTAACAGGACATTGGGGCTTACAAGTTTCAGATGTCTGTCTGACCCATTGAAAATTCACAGGACCCTTAGAATAAAATTAAACATACATTTCAGATTTAACATTTCTTATAACTGGCACTGAAATTATTAACAAACACAAGATATATAAACAGCAAACAAGTGTCACATGTCAGATATAACAACTTAAGTCAAAGTCATTGTGAAATATACAGTCAGACACTGGGGCTGGTGGGTTGTAGACTTCTGCTGGATTTGTCAGAGGGTCAGACACTATTCGTGAACACTGTGATTGATTGATTTATTTACTATTTGACTGTCTACACAGCTTGACTATATTGCCTGACATTTGTCTAAGTCAGTTGGTTAAAAAGGTGATCAGATGAAAGATAACAGGTAAATAGCATATGTTTTTCCATTACTTGTCTTATTCCGAGATGGCAGACAACTAGTATATGTAATTCCACTGCTAGTCTTATTCCCAGATAACACATGGCTCAGAGGCGGATACAGCTTTTTGAGAAAGGGGGGTGGGGGGGGGATAATACATGCCATAAATGAGTTTTGGTGTTTTTGTCCCCAACACATTATCCATGAGCTCATAACACTGCAGATACCATATCAACAAAGTTGTACTGAACCATGCAATTAATTCCTGTTATTGCAGTATCTGGTTATAAAATAATGTTATTATATATCTGGTTGTAAAATAATGTTATTACATATCTGGACTTGTGTTTGTAATCTATTTTCTGAAGTTCATTCAAAATTTAATTCAATATGGTTTACTCAAATTTAGATGAAAATGTGCAAAATGATAAGTACCGGTAGATGGCATTTATTTGCAGCAACCACAATCAGGTGACATCTGAAATGAACTTTAGTTGACAGAGGATGGATACATGTGTCATAAATGTCATGCTTTGACTCATTAAAGTCATATTTATGGTGTCTTGACTGATGTGTCAACATAATATTTTCAACTTTGATACATTTCTGAAAGTTTGAAAATGTATGACTGGTACAATGAATACAAGCGTGATTACATGCTTAGTTTTCAGGTCCTTCATCCACAAAGGTAATTAATGCTTTAGAACTAATGTTTTTCTAAACTGCCTAACATGCTCACTATGCTTAAAAACCATTGTATATGCATAATTCCCATGTTGCAATGGCAGCCTTCTGTTTCCTAGGATAAACCCATATTATATTTGCTTTGTGTAATTGTTACTTATCATAACAAAGTATTAACATTGACCCGTAAAGATCCGGGTTAGATCTGATCATCAGTAACCCATGCTTGTCGTAAGAGGCGACTAACGGCATCGGGTGGTTAGGCTTGCTGACTGGGTTAACACGTGTGCTCGTATCCCAATTGCGTAGATCGATGTTCATGCTGTTGATACCTTGATCAATTCGATTATTTACAGACCGGCGCCATATAGCTGGAATATTGCTGCGTGTAGCGTAAAACTAAGCTCACTCACTCATTATCATACCATTATTGATCACCTTGCTATTAATGTACATATAATTCTCGCCCTTAACCCCCGAATAAGATGGGGTTAACTTACATCAATATTTGAACCACTAGAGTTTCAAGTGGTGATGGTGGGTGTCTGTTTCCTATCAGTGAAATCAAATGTCTGTTACTGACTAATTGCTCAGTTGATAAACGTTAACAGATTATAAACATTAGGCACAAGGTTTCTGAAAGTCTGTCATTCAGACCCTGAAGCAAATATATCCAAGAAAGCCCATGCAAGTCTAGAAAATGTGGCAAGTCTAGATTTCCAGTCTGAAAATGAAGACAGTCTGAGGGCTCCTTTTCATTATATTTTGGATTTTTTATTATGAGCCTTTTTTCTGTAAAATATTTTCATTTCAGAGACTAGTTGTTAGTCTAGGCTTTTGACAATGTCTGTGATTCAGTTAATTTAAGAGTTGAGTCTCCTATTGTGTATATATCTTTAGTTTCAGGATTATTCCAGTTTAGTTATTTTGGGGTTCACAGTTTTGTAGGTAGGTAGTCTGTGCTTGATGGGGGAAGAGCATTTCATGCCTGTCTGCATCGGATCTGAGAACAGTACCATGGAAAGTTGCTTAAAGTGGACAAACATTGACCACATTGAAAATTTTGATCTTCCAAAGAAAACCAGCAGAGTTCACAAACATATTATTAGTAGTGAGTGAGTTTAGTTTTACATTGCTTTTAGCAATCTTCCTGCAATATCACGGCTGGGGACACGAGAAATGGGATTCCACACGTTGCACTCATGTGGGGAATCGAGCCCAGGTTCGGCATGAAGAGCAAATGTTTTAACCATAAGGCTACCCCATTGTCCCCTGGCGTAGTAACTCCTTGTGGGTAGATGCTATGGAACTCAGATTTTGATATCCAATAAGGACCATGATTGTATCCATTTTCGTGGTACAGCAATAAGTGACTGAGTGAGTTTAGTTTTACGTCAAACTCAGCAATATTCCAGCTACATGGCGGTCTGTAAATAATCGAGTCTGGACCAGACAATCCAGTGATCAACAGCACAAGCATCGATCTGCGCAATTGGGAACCGATGACATGTGTCAACCTAGTCAGCAAGCCTGACCACCCGATTCTGTTAGTCACCTCTTACAACAAGCATGGGTTACCTGAGATCAGTGTTCTAACCCGGACCTTCACGGGTAGGTACAGCAATGAGGTGTGAATAATTTGCTCTATAATAACATCAATGAAGAACCTATAGCCAGATTGGAACATTTCATTGACACAACCTCCTATATGAAGGATGTGTTCCCAGACCTGCATGCAGACGGGTATCAGTATTTTACAAAGACTGGAAAAACAAATTGTGTATGTCAAGTCATTTTGTGTTACACCATATTTCTAGGTATGTATAGCTGGTTGCAGAGTGTGCAGTGTTTGCTAATCTGGTGACATGTGTCTATTAGCCTAATGTGTCCTGTGAGCTTGTGTAACCTCTCTGTGGTGTGTGGCTCCCACTGCTTATCTGGGGACGGCATGTAAACAGGTAGTCGGTCATCCAGACCCTGAAACAAATATAGCCAAGAAAGACTATGCAAGTCTAGAATGTATGTCAAGTGTAGATTACCAGAGTTTCATGTCTGAAAATTAATAGTCTCTGGTCTCCTTTTCACTATATTTTAGTGTTATAATTTAAGAACTGTTTGGGTTTTTTTTTTTTTATATAATGTTCATTTCAGAGACTAGATGTTAGTCTGGTAAACAAGTACAATGATATATTCAAAGTATTACCATAGAGTACTTTTATGTGCATAAACTTTGAAATGATTCCCAACACTACTGACCACCCCTTGAAGATCCGGGGTAGAACTGGTCTTCAGCAACCCATGCTTGTTGTCAGAGGCAACTAGAGCGGTCTGGTTTGCTGACTTGGTTGACACATGACATCATATCTCAATTGCATAGATTGATGTTCATGATGTCAGTCACTGGATTGACTGGTCCAGACTTGACTGTTCACAGACCACTATCAAATTGCAACAAAACTGCAGATCATGCTGTTTAATGCCCTTTAATCTTGTTACTGAGTAAAATGACTTGTAAATATTGGTGTTATGAATTCTCAAACTGAAGAAACTAAGACTTACTGATGTTAACAGAGACCCTGTAAGTTTATACATTATGCAAAACTAAACAGTTTACAATTCATCACATGATAAATACACACAATATTTTGCAGTTTCAATAACTAAATAAGAGATCTGATGCAATGATTCACGTCTTTATTTTTGACATCCCTAACGCTGTTATACAAAACATATTTATATACAGAATGTTCCTTTCATTATCGGGTGCTTTACTTAATTTATATAATGCATCATTATTATTTAATTTCTTTAGTCCTTTGGGTTTTTTTATACCTGTGTTATTGGTCTTACTCTTAAATTTGGTTGTTTTTCTGTGAATAAATAATTCTACTGTAATAGATAACATTTTAGAATGGATTTTAAAATGCATTACATTCCTAACAGTTTTTATTAGCATACCAGCCCAGTTGTGGTTGTGCAGTCTGTCACCCACCCTCAACTGAAATACAGACAATATAATGATAGGGTTATAGTATGCAGCTGACGTAAGCCAGGCACTGAGTCACACAGTGACAATCAGGGAGAAAGGTCAACTTGTCACTAACCAGTTCATCTAGTGGTGCTTATTTAGTAAACTCAGGTTTAATTCTATTGCTTTACTAACAATACTCATTGTACATCAGCTGAGAGTCATGTGAGGAGATTTGTTATTGAGGAAGTAACCTACCATTGTACCACTAGTAGGAGCATTCAGTTCATTCATGTTACTGGGGCATAGATGACTATAGTCTGTTTGCAGTGAAAACGTACCGATAAATTTCATTTTAAACAAAAAAGTAGATCAAATAATGTGAAATTAAGATTGCGAATTCTCAGAACTTTACGTTGCCAATTGAACATTAATATCTCAGAATTTTATTCAACTTAGGATAAAAGTTGTTTAACAAATGATCATAGTTTCAAATCGCTATTATTGGTTTGTATTACAAGGGGGTATGCACATTAAATGAAACCCCGAGGACAAGAAGGGTTGGTTTCTACGGTATTCTAAGTTAACGTTCATCACGGACCGCACATGCATTTGTTTCACTGTTCCAACTGCTGCGTGTACCCCTTTGTAATACAAAGTATAATGCCGAGCGCCAGGCAGGGACCAACAAGTACTATATTTTGACGTCTCGAACCCGCGACCTTCCGCTCTCCAGGGGGACGCTCTAACCACTACACCACGGCGGCGGTCTACTGTTTTGATGTTCATATTGTAAGCTATGATGATGATCGTGATGATGACAGATAAACAAATTATGACAACTCAAATTATGTCTGTGACCTCATGAAGTTTCGGCATGCTGTTTACTTGGTGTATTTGAATATTTCCATGATGTAACATGTTTGCTCATCATATCCTATATACATATGTATGTCTACTTTCTCAATGACATTTGTATTTCCACTTTCATTACCAGTAATGCTGATACTCCAATAAAATATGCCTTTATATCATTTGCATGTATCAGATTGCTATAATAAATGATATTTGAAACACATTTCATTATTATAAAACAACAAAAAATGTATACACTTAATGAACACAAACAGCCATCACAAGAGCCGAATCACGGGTACAGACACAACGAACAAAGCTGTCCTAGTCAAAACTAATTACATGTATTTGTCAAGAGTGAGTGAGTGAAGCGGTTTTACACCACTTTTAGCAATATTCAAGCATGGGGGGAAGGGGGGACACCAGAAGTGGGCTTCACACATTGTACCCATGTGGGAAATTGAACCTGGGCCTTCGAGCGAACGCTTTAACCACTAGGCTACCCCACCACCCCTATTTGTCAAGAGAGACTTGGGGCATGTCCGAAACTAACATTTAATCTATGAAATGTTTGATTACACAATACATTTTATTCCTGATTATTTTTACATGATGCTGAGCAAATGATGCATAAAGACAGTTCTTACAGACAGACAGACAGAATGGGTTGCTAACACCTATATTCTAACCCTTACGGATGAAGTTAGTGAAATTTTAGCTAAATATGGATCATTTGAAATGCAGGTCATAACTAATTGTGCTGATAAATATTTATGTGGTGAATCCCTGTTTCTTTTTCAGGAGAAATCCAAAATGGTACGTTCACATCGCAGACTTTGCCAACATGCTGAAGGCTTTCATTGGCTCCAACTATCTGTCCATTGCCTTCGCCTTCCACCAGAGTGGCCTTGTGGTGAGTAGATTTTGTATGTAAATGTAGAGTCAGACAAATGTGCATGAAAACGTGTGTTGAAACATGATGCACAGAGGCCCAAATAGTACATGGTCAAATATAATAATGTAGATATTTTGGCCAGTGTATCGACAAACTGCACAGGGCTGAAATAGTACATAGAAACATTCAACAGTGCATCGACAAATTGCACAGGGCAGAAATTGTACATTAACATTTAAACAGTGTATCGACAAACTGCACATTGCAGAAATATGATATAGACATGTTGAATGTGACTAGTGATGTTGGGATGATGATTTGGGGCCAACATTCAGGCCAGACAGCAGAACGCAGACTCCTGCCTTTGGGGCTGATAAGGTTTTAGAAGAGGCATCTATATTGCATACTGATGATATTTACCAAGGTATTTTCAATGATTGAAAACATCAGACATGGCTTCTCACATGTTATCGCGCCCTTAAAATTCCCACTGCACCTAATAACAACTGCAGTTTACAACTGACTGCACGTCAGATTAACTTGCTGTACCACATGCTTCAGTGGGAACATAAAGCTGAAAGGCTTGTTTTCAGACTGCCGTTGTTTACTTTTGCTCTGTATTATCTAGTATCAGACTTAAAAGTGTCCTTGGAACATTTACCCTACAGCACTACTGTAAGGCATGATCATATTCACCTCATTAGGATGACCGAATGTTATAACATACTCTTGGCATGGGTACAGCGAAAGGTGGCAATCTGTATAGCACATATTCTAGGTGTAAATATGTGCATTGGGAGAAATTATTGCAAGCTGTTTTCATACTCATAGCGAAATTACTGATATTGTTTATATTTGACTTGAATTAGTTTGATATCTTGTGATGAATTTGAGATATCTCAACCACAGATGATATATAGATATCTGGAGTAAAAGTTGTGATCTCACAAAAGGAATTGAGTATATGATAAATCATACTAGGTTTACAAAATGTAAACAAATGTTTTTCTAATGTCAGTAATTTAATTGCTGATAGCTTGCAATTGAATACAGGATAAAATCATGAATTATTGTTATATTGAATTGATGCTTATTTATTGATATTTTCAAATATCTCCATCTGTAAGGTACTGTTGGTAATGTATCTGATTGTGCTGACAATTCTCAGTGGGTTCTTGACCGTATTCACTCCACAATGCTGACCATGCTGACATGCAACGTTTGTTGAGTTGTTTCTGTGCAACAAGTTGTACATGGTTTGTCACAATTTTTGGGAAGCTGAAGAATTTACATATATACAGCGGGATTTATTTTAAGATATCTGTAAACAATTCTGACCAAGTACATGATATGTGTAGCCTGTTCATTTAGAATTACACCCACTCCACTTAGTGCATCATGCTTTTAAATTTAGACTGCACCAACCAACCACACAGGTGCCTGTCCACCACACAGGTGTATGTCCACCACACAGGTGCATGTCCACCACACAGGTGCATGTCCACCACACAGGTGCATGTCCACCACACAGGTGTATGTTCACCACGCAGGTGGGGCGGTAGGGTAGCCTAGTGGTTAAAGCATTTGCTCATAAGGCCGAAGACCCTGGTTTAATTCCCACATGGGTACAATGTTTGAAGCCCATTTCTGGTGTCATCCACTATGATATTGCTGGAATATTGCTAGAAGTGGCGTAAAACTAAACTCACTCACCACACAGGTGTATGTCCACAACTAAGGTGCATGTTCACTCAAAGTTCACAACATGTTTTTTCTCATTTTTGAAAGTTGTAGTAAGTGTAACCATGGTAACTATGTAAGTATATTGTTCAACTCCAAATTCCATGTTTCTGTCGTCCACAGCCAGGGGTGGTGTGCCTGGTTCTGATTGCCATAGTCACTGACCACTGTTGTCACATGATCGTCAAGTGCAAGTATAAGGCGATCGACGTCGTAGTGGACACACAGTTGCAAGGAGAGCCCGGAATCACGAACGCTGGGGACATCGTCATCGAAAATGCCTTAAGTGTTGAAATACGAGAAAAGTTGCTTAGGAATCTATCATATGGAGATGTAGGGAAAATAATTTATGGAAAATGTGGTCTGTACTATGTAAACTTTTGTTTATTTATTACACAGTTTGGATTTTGTGTAGCTTATTTCATATTTGTTGGCAATACCATTCGAGCCATATTTCCATTTCATATGTGCAATTTGATAAACAGCACGTACGTATGTGGGGGAAACAGACAAACTTTTAACCACAATTACAACTTTCCATCTACACAAGACGCACAGTCAGGGAGAAACAACTCTCTAGCAAGCTCAGGGAGACATGTTTACGAGGCTGATCCAGGAGCAGATTCCCACTCAGTGTTGGATTTCGTGGAACTGGATAAGAACACAACAGGCTTGAATGTCACCAACATCACTACCATCTCAACATCCATACTCACCTCCACAGCTCCATCGCTCATGCTATTGGTTTTGTTGCCTTTACCAGTTTTCATTGGATTTTCCTACGTGAGAAATGTACGTCATCTTGGCGCAATCAGTGTATGGGCAAACATCTCAATTTTACTTGGAGCCATTGCTGTAATGATTTACCTGGTTGCAGGTGAGTTTGATTGTGGAGATTGACATAAAACTTTGTCTTAAATTATACGATCAAGTGCCTTTTGAATTTTTAGTTAGCATGTTTATTTGCCTTCACAAGAGCTTACAATAGATTGATGCTTGGTGGCATGAAGTGTTTTTATGTTTTTCGTCTTATTTGATAATTGACTCTGTGTAATTTAGGAGATAACGATAAAATGTTTTCAATGCAGACACATGCTACCTATTAGTGCTCAGGTATTGGCATACAATCTGCGATACAATACATCACGATACTAAAATTTTAGTCACGACAATATATTGCCAAAGTATTGTGTACTTAAGCTGCGATACGATACAAATCCTGATACAAGGGTGTCGATATGATATGTATCACGATACTAAAATCTTTAATTCTAACACCAACTATAAAACACCTCTAGATAAAAACAAAACTATTTTAAAGTATTTTGTCAAATTCCGCCAGCGTTTTTCAGTGTTCAGTCGGAAATGAGATAATTAAGTTTATACACAGACTTTGTGAATGTTAATAAAATGCGAGCACTATGTTTGACACAGTTCCTGATGCAAGAATTTCAAAGAAACTTATGAAGGGAACATAAGTATGCATATACTTTAATCATTAAACAAAAGTAAGCATATGGTAAGTCTTTCCTGACAGATATCGCATTTCGGCAATATTCAAAGTAAAGCATCGATTTATGTGGCCCATTTGAAGTATCGTATCGGGATATACAACAATGTAAAACTTTGTATCGATTTACTGTATCGGCGGCCCATGGATCGATGCATCGGTATGTATGGATAAATAGTCACACTATTACAACCGATACATTTGACAGTTAAAAAAACAAGCCTCTACTGTTACACATTTTGTATTAGCATATCAAGAACACAGCATAGAACACAAGTCATCTTCACTGCATCAGTGAGCTGTACTATCGACTGCTTCATAATGAACTTGTCTGTGTTCTGCCGAGCTCCTGCTCATGTTTTTATACGTAGTATGGTGTAAATATTGCAGAAATGAAATGACAATGTGAGAGTTGTCATGTTGTTGAATGTTAACAGAACTGATTATGATGTGGCAGCTGTGGCCATCTACATTCATCTGCTTGTTCATGTGAAGATGAGGTGGAATAGCTGTAATTGCATATTGTCTTTTAGCTCATTAACATTAATATATCGCTTTAACTTTGTAATAACATTCAATTTATGTCCCATAATTTAACACATGATACAGATGAATGTTTTCACCGTATAAGAACATGTAGAAATGCATCATACCATGTTAAACATATTCAACTTGTTCAAAAGTTAAGCATCCACCTCCTACATTCCTGAAGTCTTCACGACATCAGTTTAATTACTATCAGGTTTTTAAATCTCATCTGTCTCTGCTTGCGATCTGAGGACACGTTAGGAGGCCCAGCAGATGTACTTTCTTGATTAGATAGTCGATACAGAGGCTTCTAAAACCCCAGCATGGGCAGGTGGTACTTTCAGACAGGCATATCTGATTTCTTTATACAGGTCAATAATTCACTAGGTTACTTAGACAGAATTTACTGAATTAACAGCATGAAGGCCCATATATGTGATGAGAGCTGTGGCTTTTATTGTTTCATCTGCTATTTCATAATACCAGTAATGTAGACTGTTGATGGTAGACTGATTAGTACAACTGATATACAAAGAAATATCTATAGGTTTCTGTTTCAGATTTCAGCGTTAGTTCCTCATTCAGGCTCTACAACTGGGCCGAGTTGCCCATATTCTTTGGACTTGTCACCAGCGCCTTTGAAGGAATCGGCACGGTATGTACTGTGGGGTGTTATTATGGACGTCCACATGGAGTAAGGAGTGTTATGATTAGAAATCAATATTCACTATATGGTGTTGGGATTGACAGAGCTTCCAGTCATTCTATATGGTGTCATGATTGATTACACATCCATATGTTTTGGGGGGTAATGATTGATTAAACATCCATAAGGACAAAGGAGTGTCATGATTGATTAGACATCCATGTATGCTATATGGTGTCATGATTGATTAATCATCCATAAGGACAAAGGAGGGTCATGATTGATTAATCATCCATAAGGACAAAGGAGGGTCATGATTGATTAATCATCCATAAGGACTAAGGAGGGTCATGATTGATTGAACATCCATGTGTGCTATATGGTGTCATGATTGATTAATCATCCATGTGTTTTATATGATGTCATAATCAACTGAACATCCAAATGCATTATAAAAGGTGCCTCTCTCAGGGACTGTAGGTTGCAATCCCGGATGGGATTAATCACACCAAAAGTACTGGAGAGGAAATGGTTTGTGATGCATTTTTAATTTTCTTTGCAATTTACCTTACAAACTGTTGTGGATGTTTTAGAACATCAAATTTCCTATAATTGTTAGCAATCACACCTTATGCGTACTGCTAGAAAAACTCTAATCACGGTATTGTAACAAATATGCTGTCGTCAAGACAGTCAGACATGCTCATCAAGTGATAAGTATCCAAGAAAGGTGAGCTTCTGTACCTTCACTAAGTCTACCTGTTCCAGATTATTCCCATTGAATCCAGCATGGAGGGCAACAGGCACAACTTTGGCGCATTCCTGCATGGTGCAGTTGGCTGCCTGTCTTTTGTTCTGTTGGCATTTGGTATTTTGGGCTATCTGAAGTTTGGGGAGTCAACAAACCAGATGATCAACACCAACATCCCTTCCACCAGCTGGGTAGGAATAGCCGTCAACATCTGCCTGTGTATCGGGGTCATACTCACGTTCCCTCTCCAGATATACCCTGTGATAGAGCTGGCAGAAATCTACACATTCGCTGATGGTATGTGGAGGTAGACATAGAATCAGTTGTAGAACACACATCCCAAAAATGAATGCATATCTCAGGCTGTAGTATCTATGTGTGATCAATGATGACATCTGTGACAAAACATCACATTTGAAGAATATGTAAACTGAAATCCACAGGTCAACTGTTGGAAGCTACAACACAACGTCCGAGTCAAGTTTGCCATGTTTCCAACGTTTAAGAGACATTGTACTTGTAAACTTTTGCAGTGATAGCTCAAAATTACTACTTATGCTGCTGACTTTCAATTATGAAAATTTAGTGGTGGCGCATGGTCCTGTGCATAGAGCTCACTCAGGTCACACATTAGTTGACGTTAAGCAACATCGAGGGCATAGAATCCTTGGATAGGTGACCGTGTTTGGCAGGTTGACTCTTGAGAATTTCTAGAACATCAGTACTCCCCCACAACGAAACACATGTGACACATGTGGTCTCACCTTAGGCAAGTGAGTTTGTTCAAAATTGCCTCTCTTCACCCAGCATAAGTGGGTACCCGGTGGGATAAATCATGTGACTATAACCTTCTAGCGTCTCACAGGCAGCTGGGGCTATCCGGGGTAATAATAATCAGATAGTAACAAATTTGTAGCGCTTTGAGCATGCGCTAGGGCATGGAGTCTGGCACTACGGCAGGGAGTCTGGCGCTCTACAAATACACTGTATTACTGTATTATGTATCAAAGTTGGACTGTAAAACATATATGATAGATGGATTATTTATACAGTGCTGTGTCATTCAGCCATTAAAGTTTATCCAAGATATTAGACCCTTTTTTTCCTTATAGTTGACAATTATCTTAATTGAAAGTTTGCATAAGCGAATATTTTCAAAGTGTAATAAATATTTGAAGCGGTTTTCTTTTTTTTGGTGTCTTAATACTGTATTTGATTAACTGTACCCCATTGCTGACACAAGAAATCCACTTTTAAATCGTTTTGACGGAGGTGAGTCTAATAAGTGAACGTATGGCCATTATCTGTTGCCTGGTAGCAGTGTGCCGGTGTTCATGACGGTATAAGTTAGCTGCCATTGATCCTGTGATACAAAAGTCTTATCTTGATTATGGTTAATTTTAAAACACATTAAAATTGTCACATTGATGTAAATAACTTCAAAATGCAGAGTCAGCATAAATCAGTCTTCAACCTCACATGCAGTGGCAACCCCTTAGTACTGCTTGTCCATTTGTAATAGGAAGTGTGGCCTCTTATACTCCCAGATTGCTGTGTCAGGTATCTCAGCATAACATGTACTGATGGTAGCATTAGACACAGGGCATTGTGTAATGCTTCTCATCAGAAACATGCAGTAAAGGTGACATAAAAGACATGTCACTGTGTAGTACTTCTACACAGAAACATGCAGTGAAGCTGTGTTGCCACAGAAACATGGAGTAAGGGTGCATTGCCACGGAACCATGCAGTGAAGCTGTGTGACCACAGAAACATGTTATGTGTAAGGTGACGTACATCTATTGTTCTTTGCAGGGAAATGTTGTGGGCCCAAAAAAGTGACACCTCCTAAAAATGCTGATGATTATGGCAGCGAGGGTTATGGCGGTAGTGAGTACACTGACCAGGATGCACTGCTACCCTCGAGCTCATCCAGCACATCCCCCGTCCCAGTAGCGACCGTCATCTCCAGAGAGGCAAGTATTTGGGTTCTCTAGAGGACATGCCTGTTTGTTTTGCTTACCTCAGGGTTTGGGGTTTTATGTTCCTAAAGACATTCTTATCACCAAAAATTATCTTTTCTTGTATCATATGCCCAGTGACCACTTGATACAAATTGGCAGGAGTTTTTATTTTAAAAAACCCAGTTTTGTATTTAAGTAGAACAGAGGTTTTCTGAGATTTGTAACAATCATAGAAGGCTAACCAAGGTCAGTATTGGTCCAAGTGCACTAATGCCAACTTCATCTGAATCCCACCTGTGAAGATGTTGGTGATAATTGGTCTCCACTGTTTCAAACCCATTCTTGTTGTAAGAGAAGACTAATGGGATTGGCTTCCTAGATTTGGATGATGCATTTCACTGTATCCTTGTTCCGTACATTCATGCTTTTAATGGCTATCAATGGATTGTCTGGTTTGGACCTGAAATTTTTGGTTCACATTAATTTTGCTGGAAGATTGCCAAATGCAGTGCAATACCTCAAACAAAATCATACTAGTCATGTCTGTTTATCACATTCCACACTGTCTCCATCAAATCCTTCATAGGTGGTTAAATCAGGTGAACTAATCCATTAGCCACCTGTATAGAGGCTTCCAAATACTTTAAGTATGAGTGACTGAAGCATTCATAGAAACAAATGGATGTTCGTAAACGTTAAATAAGTGAAACTGATAGTGAACCCTGACTGTGTACTATGAAAGAACATTTGTTTAAAAAGACTCAGGAAATCATGTTGACAAATTTAATACAGTCCAACACTGTCGTGTCAGAACTGAAGGGATGTATGTATATACTTTGAGTTATCCAGGGGCAGTAGGGTAGCCTAGTGGTTAAAGCGTTCGTTCGTCATGCCGAAGATCCAGGTTCGATTCCTCACATGGGTACAATGTGTGAAGCCCATTTCTGACTATTGCTAAAAGTGGCATAGAACTAAACTCTCTCACCCTAGTTTGTTATCCAATGTTTGACTGACTGACTGAGTATGGTTTTACGCCGTTTTTAGCAATATTCCAGCAGATCACGGCGGGGGACACCAGAAATGGGCTTCACAAATTGTACCCAATTGGGGAATTGAACCCGGGCCTTCGGCGTGAGGAGCGAACGCTTTAACCACTAGGCTACCCAACCGCACCCCCCCAATGTTTGAAACAAGCCACAAAATGGATTACTAAAAAGGACTATGTAGGGACCAGGCTAGCTATTCTCGAAACGTTCGTAGCCCTACGAACTTCTTAAGCCCATTCTAAGCACATTGGCTACAATCAAAGTTAAGAATTCTTACGGCTACGAACGTTTCGAGAATAAGAGTCCAGGCTTTTACTTCAATCAATCCCACGTAGTGTATTCAGTTTCTGGGGCGGTGGGGTAGCCTATTGGTTAACGCGTTGGCTCGTCACGCCGAAGACCCGGGTTCTATTCCCCACATGGGCACAATGTGTTAAGCCCATTTCTGGTGTCCCCCGCCGTGATATTGCTGGAATATTGCTAAAAGCGGCGTAAAACCATACTCAGTCAGTCAGTCAGTCAGTATTCAGTTTCTTGATGTGAATGGTTTGTTTAGATGCTCATCACTAAGACAGCAGTAATAATCATGATAATGACGGGTGTTCTGTACAGGTGTCCACCCTGAAGCGGAATGTGATGCGGATGTTTATAGTGCTTACAGCTGCTGGCCTGGCTGTCCTCTTCCGAGACAAATTCGCATATATTGGTGCTTTTACTGGTGAGTGCACTACACACGATAACCACCATCCCTAATTGTAATGGCCCCAATGCAAATGATGGCAATAGGATTTCATGATTAGACTCATCCCCCCTGTCTCCCCAAACCCTACCCTAAGCTGATCCCCAGACCCCCCCCCCCAAATGCTGCCTACCCTAAGCTGATCCCCTCAGTCTCCCCAAACCCTGCCCACCCTAAGCTGATCCCCTCAAGCCCCTAAACCCAGCCTACCCTGAGCTGATCCCCTCAATCCCCCAAACCCTGCCTACCCTGAGCTGATCCCCTCAATCCCCCCAAACCCTGCCTACCCTGAGCTGATCCCCTCAATCCCCCAAACCCTGCCTACCCTGAGCTGATCCCCTCAATCCCCCAAAGCCTGCCTACCCTGAGCTGATCCCTCAATTTCCCCAAACCCTGCCTACCCTGAGCTGATCCCTCAACCCATCCCACCCCCACCCCAAAGCTGCCTACCCTAAGCCCGATCCCTCAAACCCCCAAACCCTGCCTACCCTAACTGATCCCTCAATTTCCCCAAACCCTGCCTTCCCCAAACTGATCCACTCAATTTCCCCAAACCCTGCCTGTCCTAAGCTGATCCCCTCAATCTCCCCAAACCCTGCCTACCCTAAGCTGATCCCCTCAAACACACACACACACACACACACACACACACACACCCGCCTACCCTAAACTGACCCCCTCAATTTCCCCAAACCCTGCCTACCCTAAACTGACCCCCTCAATCTCCCCAAACCCTGCCTACCCTAAGCTGATCCCCTCAAGCCCCCCAAACCCTGCCTACCCTAAACTGATCCCCTCAATCTTCCCAAACCCTGCCTACCCTAAACTGATCCCCTCAATCTCCCCAAACCCTGCCTGCCCTAAGCTGATCCCCTCAATCTCCCCAAACCCTGTCTACCCTATACTGATTCCCTCAATCTCCCCAAATGCTGCCTCCAATAAACTGATCCCCTCAATATCTCATGTGCATGGCATTTAAACATGTGCATGAGAAACGCAAGCCGGGAAATGAATCCTCCCAATCCATGCATTGTACACCCAACAACCTGCCAAGAATTTATTATCATGCAAATGTTCACACATTCCAGCCTTTCATCACCAGCTGGTGTATGGTAACAGTTTGAGTTGTTACGCATTGATGAAGAAAACAATATAATCGGATTAGCAAACTAGTGATCAATTCAATAATGCAAAAATATTTACATAGAGTTTATGGAAAAAAGCGATGTGTACTTTTTGCTTTGCCAAAATGTTTGCTTTGTGTGTGCAGGTGCAATTGGGAGCTCAGCACTGGCCTACATCCTGCCATGCTTGTTTTACATCAAGCTGTGTGGCCCCACCATGCCCTGGTACGTCAAGGCCAAGAACATCATCATCATCATCATGGGCATATCGTGCAGTGTTATCAGTCTGTACTCAACCATCAGAAATTTGGTTGATGGGAAGAAATAGTCCTTGGAGCCTTGTTTGCAGTGAAAGGTCAGGTATTCCACCAGCCAGCTGATACCAGCTGCTGTGTTATGGAGGTCCTCAAGTCTATGTCTTTCACAGATACTGAATAATTTCTATTCATATTTTTTCAAATACAGTAAACTTTACCTATAATGAAGCCAGAGGGACCACTGATTTTAGTTTGTTACAACCCTGTTTTGTTATAACCCTATTTTACAACCCTATTTGTTATAACCCTAATTTACAACCCTGTTTTGTTATAACCCTAATTTACAACCCTATTTGTTATAACCCTAATTTACAACCCTATTTGTTATAACCCTAATTTTGCAACAACCTTAGTTTGTTATAACCCTAATTTGCAACAACCCTGTTTTGTTATAACCCTAATTTACAACAACCCTATTTGTTATAACCCTAATTTGCAACAACCCTGTTTTGTTATAACCCTAATTTTGCAACAACCTTAGTTTGTTATAACCCTAATTTGCAACAACCCTGTTTTGTTACAACCCTAATTTGCAACAACCCTGTTTTGTTATAACCCTAATTTGCACAACCCTGTTTTGTTATAACCCTAATTGCAACAACCTTAGTTTATAACCCTAATTTACAACCCTGTTTTGTTATAACCCTAATTTACAACAACCCTATTTTGTTTTAACCCTAATTTACAACAACCCTAGTTTGTTATAACCCTAATTTGCATTTCAGCTAAAATGTAGGGCAAATGGCCAGGACCAACAAAACAGTTTGTTACATCTGTCAGTTTATTGTTAGTTATAGACACATCTTACTGTATTTATGTTTTCCTAAGTTCTAAATGAAGATATACACCAATGTTTCAAACCTACAATTCCAACAATATGTAATTTTATGAGTTTATCTTCAGACATAAATGGTACATTATTATATATTAGAATGTTTCCTTCAACACTTACTACTAACAGCTTGTGATGAAGAAATGTCATGTATTGAATGTGCTTCAACTCTGGATGAACTTCCTAAACTGTATGTGTATTTTACAAGTTTTTCTCTCAAGTTAGTGTCTTCAAATCCCTGACAAAGTGGGATCTCAATGGGATCAAATTTTCTCAAAAACTATTTAAGTTGGAGAACTGAACTTTTATACCATGATGTAACTGGTCATTTACTTCCATACTTTTCATTAGGATATACACAAACATAATTCAAATGAGCCCTGTGGCGGAGGATGGTGATAATGCTGTTTTCTTGTTTTATATCAACCCTGATTATTGTCTCGTATACTGGCCAAGGAGTTATATTTTACAAAGTTAAAGTGTAACAAATGTTATTTTTGTAAAACTGTTGTAAATATTATGTAAAACTCTCTGGCCCACACCATACACAAGTGCTATTATGATATTATTGAAGTGAGAGAGATTCTGACGTGGGAGTCTGGAACGTGATTACACCGAGAAGTCAGCAACGTCCTGAGATCCAGCAGAAGCTTGTCTCTTCTAACAGGACACTTGTTGTAGTTGAGACTACAAAGGTAGTCGAACCATCACAGAAAGGCAAAATTATATGAATACCTCACATATCAATACAACTGGTGATATTTAAATCAATGCAAAACTTGCATGATATTTAATTTGTACTAATTTTGATCAAAGTTCTCCTTGTTCCTTGTGGTCAGGCTGATCAGCTGTTTCCTTCAAGCAATGTGTGTTTTACTTCCTTGAATGGCTGTTTGAATATCTGTAGTTGTGTAGGGCTATCAGATATAGTATTTGGTTTCATGATAACACTTGCTCAAGTCATTATCAGGAAAGGATACAATGCAATGTCCTTAGTACAGTGTTTCGTAAATTGGTATGTCATGAAGACATGAACTGATACCCAGGTAAACACATTGTATATCATATTGTAGGGGGACGGTGTTGTAGCCTAGTGGTTAAAGCGTTCGTTCATCACGCCAAGATCCGGGTTTGATTCCCAACATGAGTACAGTGTGTAAAGCCCATTACTGGTGTCCCCCGCTGTGATATTCTTGGAATATTTCTAAAAGCAGCATAAAACTAAGTTCACTCACTCACTTGCATCGTGACTCATGACAATAAATGAAACAATGCTTGCAGTGTGTCTAATAATACATATGACGATATGTGACATGTGATATCATACTCTCACTCAATTACACCAGCACTTTATCACACCGACCAATGACATTGCATAATAAAACCAACGCATTGATTTTTACCTGTTTATAGTCCATCATCTGAAACTGCAAACAGTTGGTGAAGCAGTGTGAATCATTATGGAAAACAACATTACCACTGTTCATTGAACTTGAACTGTTGGTAACTAGACACTGGAACGAAAAGAACAATATATGTTTGTGTTTCATTTGTTTTGCATATGAATGAACTGTATGTGCAATTTGTAATGAAAACAGGTGATTCACTGATATGACAACATTACAATCAGTAGAACTGCTTGCATCAGCTCACATACATTATAAGGAATAATGTGTGCATTATCAGGTGATATTAATCACATTCCACTGAACCCAATGGAAATTCTTTGGGCCTTATGTAATATTAAAAAACAGTGTGTTTAGATCGGTATCTTTTATGTTGTATGAACATCAGATTTTTATTTTGTGTAATGCATACAATTATAAATGTTTGAAGGACATTTAGAAGGGCATTTAGATTCTCATACTATTATAACTCAAGATTATGTAACCTCTTAAGGTCAGGTGACCGGCATTTAGAAACATCTTCCTGATAAATGTACAAGGGCTTCCCAAATATGTTGTCTTCCAATCACATGGTATATTTCTCTGAATCAAAGAGTCTCTTACACATGTGTTGTTTCTGTTGCTAGAATCAAGATATGTTGTACGTGTCTGTGTTTAGTGGAGGACATTGTTGTGGCGATGGTATATACAACTCATAATAAATTAGGGACCACTCAGCATTCTCAGTGTGGTGTTACCGCTAATTGTCTTCCCATTTAAGGCTCATTTCTAACACCTATAAACAACAGCACTTACAAAATGTTCTATGCTCCCACACTTTACTCCTCGGAACATTCTGTCTGCTCATGCGCAGAGTTTTTCAAGTTGTAAAATGTGTTTCATGAATTGTTGTCAGTTTGTTATGTTTGGGTTGAGAATATATCTCATGTTGTGTGTTGTTTAATCACAATCAGTAGTATTCCAAATGATCATGTCCAGAGCAGCCAACCTGTGACTGACAGAGAGAGCAATGTCCCACTCTGTCCATCTTCCTGAAGCAAGGGAGGTAACTGACTTTACAAGTCCAGTTTCCACCTTGCCAAGCTTGGCAGGAATTTCTTAGTTATGTTCTGGCTGGTCTGACAAGTTTATATATAGTCCAGCCAAAATCAATGTCCCAAAATTAACATCCTGTTGATAATCTGCCCTGCTAATTTCTGTCAATTGCATATTTTGGAAACATGTGTATCGTCAATTGGATATAGACAGATATTTCCCGATCTTTTCATGTTTTTAACTAAGGTGCTCAAGTAAGCGCTTCACGAGGTATCACCCGTTCAATATAGATCTTGATTATTCATCAGATCTTCTTGACCATCGGCCACTATTTTGTTGGTACAAAAATGCAAGTAATATGACCGGTGAATCTGTTTGGCCAATAAGAGGGACAGTCATGGGATACAATACATAATAGCCTTTGGTGGTGTTACGATCGAGCAATATTCCAGCCTAAACAAGAGTGGAAACTGGACTTTTAAGGTTAGTTAACTCCCATGCCTCAAGAAGATGCACGTTGTCAAGGTTCCATGACATACCTTCAACTTAGTCACCAAGTCTGATCCAGCATCTTACATCAAACACAGATCCCTTGTAAGCATTTGTAACCTGTGATGATCATTTGTAACCAGTGATGATCATTTGTAACCTGTGATGATCATTTGTAACCTGTGATGATCATTTGTGACCTGTGATGATCATTTGTGACCTGTGATGATCATTTGTAACCTGTGATGATCATTGGTGACCTGTGATGATCATTTGTAACCTGTGATGATCATTTGTAACCTGTGATGATCATTTGTAACCAGTGATGATCATTTGTAACCTGTGATGATCATTTGTAACCTGTGATGATCATTTGTGACCTGTGATGATCATTTGTGACCTGTGATGATCATTTGTAACCTGTGATGATCATTGGTGACCTGTGATGATCATTTGTAACCTGTGATGATCATTTGTAACCTGTGAAGATCATTTGTGACCTGTGATGATCATTTGTAACCTGTGATGATCATTTGTGACCTGTGATGATCATTTGTAACCTGTGATGATCATTTGTAACCTGTGATGATCATTTGTAACCTGTGATGATCATTTGTCACCTGTGATGATTTGTAACCTGTGATGATCATTTGTCACCTGTGATGATCATTTGTGACCTGTGATGATCATTTGTAACCTGTGATGATCATTTGTAACCTGTGATGATCATTTGTGACCTGTGATGATCATTTGTAACCTGTGATGATCATTTGTAACCTGTGATGATCATTTGTGACCTGTGATGATCATTGTAACCTGTGATGATCATTTTGTATAACCCCACATTGGTACAATGTGTGAAACCCATTTCTGGTGTCCCTCGCTGTGATATTACTGGAATATTGCTAAAAGTGGCGTAAAACCCCATTCACTCACTCATTTTGTATAACTGTGTTTTACGAATAGTACTTGGGTTGTAAATAGGATTTCTGGAATAATTCTGTTTGTATAAATGTAAAAACAGAATAATTCTGAACTTGTAAAGGTTTTTGGCATGATGAATTATCAAGTTGTTTATACATATATGTGTATATATTTTTATCTACTGAGGGTTAAAGTCTTTGAATGGCATTTAGAAGTGATGCACATAAAATGGGAAATTTATAGATGTCAGCCCATGTTACAGAAGTTGACACCCACAAATTGCCCCCTTTTACTGACAGTTGTTCACAATGTGTGCAGTGTATAAAGACAGAAATTTGGGTTATACTCCAGGAACAATGTGTATATATGTGTATATATTAGTGTATAAAGACAAACATTTTGGTTTACTCCTGAAACAATGTGATAAAACAAATTTTATTTTGCTATAGAGTTGCTATGTTCCTAGTTTCATATTGTTTTATACCCTTGTTATCGAGATGTATATTTCTACATTTGAGAATCTGTGAATTGTAATGTTGCAGTCCATGTTCCACACAGCAGAATTAGCATGGTGACATCGTAGCTGTTTG